GAGATGCAACGAGTGCAAGCAGATTTACAGGACCGCTCAGAAAACTTTGACGCCTTGCAGGAAGAGATGCGCAAGATGAGCGAAGCCTTGATACGACTTGAAGACGACCAGGAGAACAAATTGCGACGCATCCAACAGCTCGAGCAGGAATTGGACTCGTCGAACAAGGAGCTTGAAGAGCTGGAGCAGAAGCTCATGGAAGCGAACGACAAGAACCAGCGACTTTCAGTACAGCAAGAGTCGTCACAGGGAGAGATTGCATTCCTTCGAGAAGAGCAAGAGACCGACAAGATACGCATCGGCGACCTCGAAGCTGCAATGGCGAATGCCGAACAGAGCATCCGCGAAGAAAAGGAACGAGTCAAGGAATTGGAGAACCGTCTCCAACAAGAGCGACACCAGCGAGAGATTGTGGCGGACCAGGAGAAGGAGGAGGTTCAGCAGTTTGTCAACGAGCTCAACCGGGAAGCGTCAGCGGCCAAGGATGAGGCTCGTCGTCTGCGTAAGAACTTGACGTCGAGAGAGGTTGAGGCGACAGAGTGGAAGGAGAGGTTGATGGAGCTTGAGAATAATCTTCGTGAAGCTCTTGGTGACCTCAACGGTACCCGCTCTTCGCTCCTTAAGGTGAGTCGGCTTAGCTTGCATTTGTGGGTGATTACGCTAACAGTCTTAGTCAATTGCCAAGTTGCAGCGGGAGCTTGAGAATACGATCCGCGACCTGGATGCTAGCAAGGCAGCTCTTGTGGAGAAGGATCGTATCATCAAGATGCGCGATTCACTACTTGAGTCTCATGCCCTCGAGAGTCGCAAACTTGCTGAGTTACTCGACAAGGAGCGCATTGCCCACCGCAACACAAAATCGCAGTACGACACATTCCAAAAGTCTCACCAACACCTTACCCGTACTGCAAGCAGTCAAGATGTGCGCATCGCTGAGCTCGAGACGAACAAGAGTCAAGATCGCAGGAGGATCGCGCAGCTTGAGCAGTCGATGCGCGATCAACTACAAGAGCGCAATGAGTTACTGCTACAGCTTTGGCACAAGCTCAGTAAATTGTGCGGAAGAGAATGGGTTCACGGCAACTCTCTCATCGACCGCCAAGTTCTCCCCTCAATCGAAGTCATCGCCAACCGCCTCCCCAGCTTCACCAAGAACCTGATGGCGGCCGTCAAAGCCATCGAGAACATGATCGGCTCCTTCGAAGTGCGCATCAAGTCCGTCGAACGCGACCTCCACAGGGAGTATCAAACCCTCGAGTCCAACCTCGAAGTGCGCACCAAGAAACTGGACCGTCTTGAAACCATGGTTAGAAACTCGGTCGCTTCAGGATCTCTGAGCCACGACGCAAGGTACTCCCGCCTGGAAGAAGCATATCGCCAGCTCAAAGTCGAAAACGCCACGCTCCGCACCGCAAACGACGTGCGCGCCCGAGCCTCATACTCCAGCACCGAATTAGTTCCTCACTCACCATCACCATCCGTCCCCCGCGGTCCTAATGATCAACGCACAAGCCGTTCTAAATCTCGCTCAACCGTTACGCGCGCACACACCACCACCGCATTACCAGGTTCTTCAGCGGGAGGTTTAGGACTCCGCGACATGGCCGCGCTAAGCGAGGAGAACAACGGCGCCGCGAACGATAACAGGTGGTTGTTTAGACTGCGCGACATGGAGTATAAGCTCAAGATGGAACGGGAGGGTCGGAACCAGGATAGACATGCTGCAAGGCAGAGGCTGGGAGGGCTGGAGATGGAGAATCGTGATTTGAAGGAGAGGATGAAGAGGGCTCTAGGGGACCTGGATTGAACAAAAAGCGTGGAGTTGATGGGTGCAAGGGCGGTTAATTATTAGCATAGATGGGAGCTAGGTGTTGATTGTGTATAACTGGACTGCATGGACTGCATTGCTTGTATAAACTAAGTACGAGGATTCTTTTGTTGGTGTTGGGGAATATATTTGGGTATTATGATTATTGATGTTGGTGAAGCTGAAGTGGTGATGGTGATTTATTTATTGACAGAGTGAGGTGTGCTAGTACTGGGGCTTCGGGGGACAAGAAAACATCCACATCAGACCTTGATATACGGTATGAAAATAAACTCATTAAAAGTTATCCTAAACTTAGCAAAGAGTCCCCTAAGTCTAGGCTAGATTTACCTAAGTATTTCTATCGCTTAGGGTCAAGGACCTGTGTTTTCTTTCCTCCCCTGGTGGGGTTAGCGCTGTGAGTACGGGCGACACTGAAGAGAGGCAAGAAAGCTGAGGATCTCTTATCTAAGTGATGAAGACCTTGGTAAACTTGAGTAAGTTTATCTTGTTAAGACGAGACCCAGTTTACTTAGTAGCCATTCAATGTCAGAAGTTTGAGGGCAGTAAGTGGGTGACGTGCTCTTGGGGTCTTGAAGTTAGGGACGCGATATAAGCAATAGGAACACTTATGTAGATTGAAGCCAGCTCGAGAGGGTTTGGGGTACTTTACTTGGGTCTCCAAACAGAGCTTTTTTCCCAGTCACTGGCACCTTATGCCTTCTTTTACTGCAGACAGTTGAATGTCGTGGTCAAGAAAGACCTTCTGAGGTTAACCCCACACTGAACAAGGTTCTTATTCCCCGAAGCTGGGGAAGAATATTTCTTGCTTTTCGAGGTGTAATGCGGAATTTCCGAATGGAGTAAGACCGCGTTCTCCTCAATTCGATATAAGATCCAACACCATTATCTTGTCACCATTCTGTATCGTCCTCTATCTTATCACCATCTCCTCACCACTCCCATCGTATTCTGCACAATAATTCCATCGATTTCTGATATCTTTTGGCACCATCAAAATGCTCCGCGCATCGCTCGCCAAGCCCTCGCCCCCTGTCCTCCGCCGCTGCATGACATCGCTAGCCTCCAAAAAAGAAGGCGACATCTCTGATGCATTTACGTCGATGTCCGGGGCCAAGCGCGAGCCTTTACCAGATCGATATCGGCAGCTGAAACTTAAACTCCTGCAAGGTCGGGAAGATAAGATTGTTCAGTCGTGGAACAAGCTACTACGTGAGCTGAAGCGGGAGAATGAGATTGTGGCCAGGAAGGGACCGGGTGTTATACCACAGATTGAGTTTAAGGATCTTGAGAGGAGTAGTGATGCGCTGAGGGAGGAGGTTAAGAAGAGAGGTGTTGTTGTGGTGAGGGGTGTTGTTCCAGAGGGTGAGGCGAGGGCGTATAAGGCTGAGGTGGAGGAGTATGTTGCTAGGAACCCATCTACACGAGGTATCTACCCCTACACTCCGCTCGTCAATTGACATAGACTAATGAATACAGCATTTCCACCTCACGATCCTCAAGTCTACGAATTATACTGGTCGCCACCCCAACTAAAAGCCCGCTCACACCCCAACTTCCTCGCCGTCCAACACAACCTCATGTCACTCTGGCACACCACCTCCCCAACCTCAATCTCCCTCTCCCAACCCTTCAGCTACGCCGACCGTCTTCGTATCCGCCAACCCGGCGACGCCAGCTTCGCTCTCGGTCCCCACATCGACGGCGGAAGCGTCGAGCGCTGGGAGCCAGAAGGCTACGGCGCAGGACACGTCTTTGACTCCATCCTCCAGGGAAACTGGGAATCCTACGATCCGTGGGACGCGAGTGGGCGTGTCGACGCTGTGAACAATCGGTACAATGGACTGGGTGCTTGCTCCATGTTTAGGATGTGGCAGGGGTGGATGAGCATGAGCCATACTAAGCCTGGGGAGGGGACGTTGTTGGTGAATCCGCTGGTGAAGCTTTCTATGGCTTATGTGCTGCTGAGGCCGTTTTTTAAGGCGAGGAGAGAGGGATTGGGGAAGGGGTTTTTGGATGAGGGGAATTGGGAGTTGATGAGGGATGTTGATAGTGAGTTGCAGGGCGCGACGCCTGGGACGGGACAGGAGTTGACGGGAGAGTTGCATCCGCATTTGGAGCTTGAGAAGACGATGGTTCACGTTCCTGAGATTCGGCCTGGAGATTTCGTAGCATGGCACTGCGACAGTAAGTCCCCTCCTGTCACCAATCACTACCTCCTCTACCGCAACACCACTGCCTATTAAATCAGTACTAACAGCACTTAGCAATCCACTCAGTCGACAAAGTACACGCCGGCACAGCAGACTCTTCGGTGATGTACATCCCCATCTGTCCGATCACGGCACAGAACGCAGAGTACATGGTGCGCCAGCGCGAGGCCTTCCTCCGTGGCACGCCGGGACCGGATTTCCCAGGCGGTGCGGGGGAGTCCGGACATGTGGGGCGGGGCTCGGAGGAGATGCTGGACGGAGCGGCTCGTCGGGCGATGGGACTGAGCGCGCTGAGGACGGAGGGGGAGGATGAGGTTGTTAGGGAGGCGAATCGGATCCTTGGGTTTTAAGCGGTGGCCTCAATCATGGTTATTTCGTCCGTCACGGTCATTTCTTCGGTTACCTGTCATTTATTTTTTTCACACCGGTTATTTCTGCAGCCGTATTTGCCGATTTCTTTGGTTCTCCGTGTCTCACTCTGATCAGGTAGTTTGTAATCAACTCTGGTTTGTAAGCCGATGTTTCATGAACCGTGCGATATTCGACCGTTCAGAACACTTGTTCAACGCACGTCCAACGAAAGCACCCGTGGCCCTTAACCCGCACGGATGTCGGACAGCGATGATCCGGAGACGTTTAGCGTTACTGCCAGTCTCCGCAATGGTCCTCAATGGTCGTCAATGGATCCATTACTAATCGAGGAAGCATCTAGAGTCTTCAAACGGGTCGATCTGAGGGGGAAACTGGAAAGGTTCCATTAGTAAAGCAAGGCAAGCGGTGAAGACGGTGGGGAAGGGTTGAGGTCGTCTTGAAACGGGGAGAGGAAGAGATATATATACCCCGTAGACATCGCCCCTCGGATTGTTCGGACAGACAAGCTTCATCACGCAATACACTACTATACCCAATTCACTCTACCTTCACTCTTCACTACTACCATCAAGGTTTCACTGCCCATCATGAGCTACACACTCTACGACGCCGCCATCCTCCACACCAAGGAAGCCCTCAACTCCTTGTCCTCGATCCTCAAAAAGGCCGAAACCCACGCCAACGCATCCTCATTCCCCACCGCCAAACTGGCCCCTGACATGCTGGACCTCAGCTTCCAGGTCTTCTTCACCACCGACACAGCGCAGAAGATTGTCGCGCGCACAACCGGCAGCGAGCCTCTTACTCTTTCTCGCGACGAGTGCACTACATTTGAGCAGTTCCAAGCTCGTATCGCGCAGGTTCTCGAGGTCGTTGAGAAGGCTGATCGGGAGCTTGTTGAGAAGCGTGGTGCTGAGGTTGTGACTATTGGGCTTGGACCCGGGAAGAGTGCGGATATGAAGGTTAGGGATTATGTGCAGGGATATGGAATTCCTAATGTCTTCTTCCATTTGACGACTGCGTATGCGATTTTGAGAAAGGAGGGTGTTGAGTTGGGGAAGCAGGACTATATCGGTTCTTTCATGAACCAGTACTTCTAAGCCTGGACACTAGTTGAGCTGATGTATTGGGATTAATAAAAGTGATTTGACGTTGACTGAGGCTGCATGAATGAGAGTAATGAGGTGTCTTTTAGAAGCGACCAAGACTAAATACTTATAACAACTGGGTTTTAGAACAAGTTTGTATTAAGCTTGAGATAATTTTGATCGATTATTCCAAGTTCTTTGATGACCTCAAGCTTTTGCGTTGATGCGTACTTGAGTGGTTCATGATAAGTTCAGGGTAGCTGTACGGAGTAGCTGAAACTGTAGTCAAGCTGTCACACAAGATCAGATCCATTTGTCATCCTTGCTCGCCCCTCCATTTCCCGCCGCACTAACGCCGCCACTCCATCTCCATCTCCATCTTGAATTCAGCATCTTCAATCACCCGTCTTCTTCACCAAAATGGCTGCACACTGGTGGCTCCTCCGCGCAATCCAATCCTTCGAAGTCCGTCTGCCCTCCCTGCCCTGATTCCCAATCACTAACAAATCTCAGGATCACATCGTCGCATCCGTACGCCTCCCGGCCTCAACCTCTACGTTCTTCACTAACAATCACGACTTAGATCCTACGACAACCAGGTTTCCACCGCGCAGTAACGCGCATTCACAAGACCATCCACGAGAAGCAACACGGACGAAATCCGCACGAGCCTTTGGCACCGGGCGAAGCAACAGCTGATCCGAATACAGCTGGGAAGAACTCGGAGTTTGCGAAGCATTTTCTGGATGAGATTAAGAATCAGTTTCGGGGGAAGCCGACGGATATAACGAGGAAGTGAAAGAGATGGATTGATGTTTTTATGATACCCTGGTTAACTGTGATGATTGACGATTGGATGCGATGGTGGGAGGTTTACGAGTTGGATTGAGATGTAGATGGGGGAAATGGAACAGGCGATTACCTGCCCACTTGTCCCTACGATGCGAACCTCGAATGCTACAACCATACGCACGTCGCAGGATCTTGAGATGGTCACGAGGAGATGGATAGTATTTATTGAGGACGACTAAGTCGCTCGGTCGATCCGAGCAGACACCTCTACTTGATCCTCCCTCCAAGCCATTTGCCTCAGCACGACGATCTGGCCCGACACGTCGCAAAAGACTCCGATTTTCTTGTCGATGGCTCTTTATCTGTCTGCGCCATTAGCGAGATCGTTTGGAAACAGAAACGGTTGCTTTACTGTACAATACCGCGCCTACGGGCTGCCAATTATACCGATTAACGCTCCATGTCTTTCCTTCATTGCTGAATCGTCTATTATTGCAAAATCCATGTCCATCTTACGGATTACACGGCAGACAACACGCCACCATGTTCATATCCTTCCCAATTAACGCCGATAATTGTCCCCATTTCTCCATGTTCACCCTGTGTCGCCTTAATCGACGAAGTATTGGCGTAGTGTGCTGGGTATGTGTACTCGTAGTGTCGTCGAGAAGAGGGACGATCTCGATGCTGGTATCTTTCGATGATGTCTTCCACATGGTGACTGATGTTCGAGCGAAATGCATTCCAGACCAGCAATAAAGCCAGTTTTATAGCCCAAACGTTTGTCGCTGACCGTGAGCTTCTGTCATCCCACCCGTGGTCATCATCTTACCAAAAACTCTGGAAATAGCCGCGCCAAGTATCACCACCAAAGTAAGCTTTCATCCGTCGCCAACGGGCGCACAACACCGAATCACCAACCAGTCATCAAAGACGTAGCTGACTCTGAGCTGTCCATCTCACGACAGCGTAGCATACTGCCCCCAATCAACCCAGTTCATCGGCAGCCCGATATCCAGATTCGCTTCCAGTGCATCCTCCACAGCCCCCAGATTAAAACTAGGATCAATAGCCCCAAACACATCCGCCCCGGAAATCGCATCAATCAGTGAAAAGTCCACGGCCTGCTCCACGCTCGGCACAGCGTTGACCATGCTCGGATTCGTCACGGCCACCGGATTCGTCACAGCCACAGGATTCACCGTCGGCGGCGGTGATTCCCGCGTGAGCGTGTTAGCAGCGCGCTCCATCTCCTTGAGCACCCGCTCGCCCAGCCCCGCCACCACGTTGGCGCTCCAGAAGTAGTCGCCGAATTTGCGGAGCATCTCGCAGTTGCGACGGAATGCGTGCATGGCGCGCGAGCGGAACATGGGCAGGCGGGAGTGGCGCATCTTGCGGTACTCCACGCTTAGGGCGAGACAGACGGCGTAGGGGACGAACGGCATAGGGGAGAGGTGGTCGCGCAGGACGGCGCAGGCGATGCGTTCTGCTGCGAGGGAGCGACGGGCGTTGGCGGATGGGGGAGGGAGGGTTGATGCTGCTGTGAGTGTGCCTGGTCGTGGGAGACGACATGATAAGATGATGACGGCGTGATAGAATGTTTCAATCGTTGCTGTGATTATTAGCCGCGAACTTGACTGAATGGGAGACTTACCGATTAGTGAGCCTGGTACTTTAAGCGCATCGGCATTGACGATCATGGCCTCGAGAACCGGAAGATCGATATAAGCAATCTTGTCCAAGCCGCTCGCCTCAGCACTTGGTCCCGGGCGATACAGCTCAATAACCTGATCCAACCACTGCACAACACTCAAGAACAGCCTAAAGCATGGCGGTCTCTTCCTAATACACCCATCCAGATTCGCGCCTATATCCCTCTCATGCATAAGACAAGGCCTCCCGTACACCGCGGCATTAATCCGATCAACCGCCCAAACCGCACAGAACAGCGTTTCCAGCTCCTCACTATTGGGCCCGTCGTATCTCAACAAGTGAAGACCCAGCGTTTGGATGTGGTGAATGGCGCGGCCGCCGAGTTGGGCGGGGAGGTCTGCTTCTTCGGAGGAGTTGGGCTGGGTGTAGAGGGATAGGAGGATGAGGGCGCGGATGTGAAGGACTCTGTCTGTTATGATGCTTGTTTCGAGGATGGCGCGGACGGCGGAGGAGACGGATTGCATGAAGTCTTGGCAGGGGAGGAGATTGTCGCCTTTGTTCTGGAGGTGTAGATACAGCGCCATGCCTGGGTCTGTAGATGCAGCGAGACATATGAGTTGTTTCAACACCACACTCGTGGGTTCATCGCCGTCCAGCGCAGTCTCCGGTATAATCGGCATGATGGGGTGAATCTTTTCCAGATACAACGCCTTGAGTTTGAGGTAGTCTTGATGTGGCGGAAGACACGATAGACAATGCTCTTTGACAAACGGTAGTAGAAACTGGTCCATTATAGGCGGTGGCCGAGAAGTGATGAATTGGCTGGCTTGGCCAGGATTATTAGAAGAAAGCCATATTCCTACATCCCCTTTCTGTGAGGTCTCGCGGACAGATGCCGAGCCTGTAGCTTCCATGAACATGCCCTCAGGGTTGAGATCCCCCACGAAGCGGGAGGATTGATTCGGCGTGCTTCCTGATTCGCGCCTTGGAGTTGGCGCAGCAGGACTTGCATTTGCGGTTGAGTTTGCATATTGAAGCGATGAGTCTGGGAGAGCAGTTCTTTGTGTTTGTAAGGGTAGTGATCTGGTGAGTGTCAATTGGGGGAGTACCCAGAGTAGTAGTGGTGGCCCACTCACGTTGACCGGGATGTCTCATCTTCTTCCACGGGAGGCGAAGTCTCATCGACTGCATCCTCAGCATGAACGCAGCGCCTCTACTCAATCAGCCCCCGGCTCTCACTCTCACTATTCCCGGGGTGTGTCAGTGAGTGCTCACCTTTTTCTTGCGACATGAAGCACAGGCGTGCTGGACCTGTTTGCGCTTCACGGGGAGACCGCCGCGCGAAGGGTCTGAGGCGACGAATTTGACATGTTTTGAAGGAGTGGGCATTTCGTCTGAAGCATGTGAGTAAGTGCGTCAGTGAGAGGATTGGATGCTTAAAGTTAGTGGATTAAGGTGAAGGACGCGTCGGTGAGGAATGGGAAGGGGATTAGTCAGCTCGGTAAGATTTGGTTGGAGGACAACACCATGAGATGAGTATCACGAGAATATGAATGGGGTGGTTTGTGTAGCGCAAGAAATGTTCAGAATGTATTGTTAGGAGTGTGATGGCTATGCTGGAGGATGTGAAATGTGACTGATCGGTGGGAGGAGGTCTGGGACCCGAGAGTCTGGGTAAGCGCCCAGAAGGAGATTGTGATTGAACTGTAATTGCAGTTTGGGAATGGCTTCGATTGCCCTGCCATTTACGGAGGGAGGGATGGATCTTGGCTGTCAGATCGACCGGGTGGCGGATCATCCCGTATCTCAACACCCTCACGATCACCAAACGTGGGCATAATACAAACAGTAAATATCTCGATAATTGCAATTCGTTGTGCAACAATCATTCAATAAATGCGACACAATATCGTCGCACAACATCATCGTCAACATCAACAGATCACCCGTTGCCCCTTCAATCACCCCCGAAAGCTATAGTGGACCCCCCCCAAACAAACAAGCACCGTGAATGCGCAGGCCCAAAAACACGACCGCTGCCACCAAAAAACATGGCCTGAATTCACGGCCCCATAACAATTCTCCAGTGGCCGTTTTGCGAGACCCTGCATGTTCTGAGAACCATTGGTCCTCGTTCGCTGCGAGGTTACGCGCTAGGCTGTAAGGGGGAAAAGGTAAACATTATGCCTGGAGGTCGTGTAAATGATGGCCTGGGGGATGTTTTTGTTATGCTGGAGTTGTATTTTTTAAATGCGAGGGGTTCGCTGTTTTGTTGATTTGTTATTCATACTTGTTTAGCTCATTGGACTTATTTTGTTCATATTTGTGGTCTTTATGAGTCGTCTGTGTAAACTGCTTGACGTCCCATTCAATTGACATACTCACCCATCATGGACGACATTCATCTCCCCATCGCAATAAGACGCTCCCGTCGCAGCAGCATCAAACCAGAACCAGACATGCCCTCATCCCCAATGCCCTCCAAAACTCCCAAGCGTTCCTCCCGCCGAGTTCGCTTCTCCGACCCAGGCGCCTCTTCATCCGGCTTAACTCCCATGGTAAATCGCTTCACCGTCGCAACACCCAAGCGCCGTCGCCACTCATCTTTACCTGTCCAAACAACCCCAAGCGCAATCCGCTCAAGTCCAGCGCTCCCTGAAAGCGGCGAAGTTACGTTTCTGCCGCTGCGACAAGTCCTCGACGGTCGCGTGCAGCGCAGAATTCGTCGCAATGGTCTGAGCGAGGAGATGAACACAATTCAACAGGAAAAGCGCCGTCGGAACCAAGAAGCAAAAGAGGAGATTGAAAAGTTGAGGAATGAGCTGAAAGCGCGTGATCGCGAGATTTATGAGTTGCAGAATGCGACTATCGTTATTGACACAGATCGCATTTGGGATCTTGAGAAGCAGATCCAAGATCTTCAGGATGAACTGACTAAACGATCAGGTCGCGCTATGGATCAGAGCAGAGGGTATAACTGGACTCTTGCAGCGCGGGAGAAGTTTTCTCAGGACTTTATGGACATGTCGCCTGATGAGGATCAGTTTGGGGATGAGACCATGGCGCAGTTTATTTGTAGTACGCCTTCGAGGGCGCGCACTTCATTCATGACGCCGCCTGCTACGAGTCCTACTGTACCTGGGACACCAATCTTTGAACCGATGGAGACAACGGCCATGGTTGGCGTTCAGGCTTGTCTGCCGGACCCTAAGCAGCTGCAGTTGGAGGAGGAAGTGTCGTCGCTTCAGCTGGAGGTTGCAAAGTTGACCGACACTCTTGAATCTTACAAGACTCTCAGCGGACGCCTTTCCGACAAGCTATCAGACTTTACACCTAGAGATCAGTCAGGCCTCGAGGCACAGATCGACGCCATGCTCCAAGCAATGTCCGATAGAACATGCGCCCTGCAAACCCTCACATCCTCCATCACAAAACTTGGCTTCACCGGCTCCGACGCCAGCGAGATGATAACAACCCTCATCACCAACTTCCGCGCCGCCCGCTTAGAGCTCGAGTACCTAACTCCCGGCGAAATCACCCTCCCCCTTTCATCCCATGGCGCAGAGGTCTTGGATCTCATGCTCACGCGTTTACGCGACATGGCGAAGCGCGCGAAAGAAGATGAGGATGCTATAGATGAGTATCACGAGATCGAACTCTCTCTACGGAAGCAGTTGGACGCAAGAGTTACGGTGATGGACGGGCTTAAAGCAGAGATGGGAAAGGCTGAGAAGCTTATCAGTGATAAGATTGCGAGGATTAGAGAGCTCGAGGTTGCGAATCAGAGGCTTAAGGGTGCTGTGGATGGGTATATCCGCGATATTTCAGAGCTGGAAGATCTCGTTCAGCGAATGGAACACGAAGCCCATGATGCCAATGACGAGTATGCGGTGCAACTAGAAGTCAAGCACAAGATCCTCACCCGCAAGGAAGACACTATCGCCTCTCTCGAAAGCAAACTCTCATCAGCGCTCACCCGCTCCACCGATCTTCAAGCCCAAATGCTCACTCTCCAAACCACCAACACACAAACCATTTCAGAACTCAACAAAAAGCACGGCTCAGCACTCGCAGCGCGCGACGCAAGCGTTCTCAAGTACCGCAGTGAAATCGACAAGCTGAATGAATCTCTGCGCTCAGCACATGACAAAATCTGCGGCCTGCGCGTTGAAAACGGTGGTTTGAAGAGGCAAGTTGATGAGGAGAGGGTCAAGGCGAAGGAGGTTATTGATGCGATGAAGGAGGAGTTGGAGAGGGTTGTCAAGATGAGTCAGGAGTTTTTGACGCCGAGAAAGGAGGAGGAAGATGTTGTGAAGGGACAGGGGGTTAGGAGGGTGAGTAAGAGGTTGAGGGGGAGGGATAGTGGGATGGGGTTGTTGGATGAGGAGGAGGAGGAGTTCTTTTAGACATGGCTAAGACATTCATTGCATTTTCCTTTGTTTAGCATATTATTATTTAATTCATATTCATATTCAAAGTGAGAGTGAGTGTGAGGTTGGCCGTGATGACTTGCCTTTCTGAGTAAGTACCGATTCGATAGCCGACGAATACCGATCTCCACACCAACCAAACCAAACCAATCTAATCAATCACCCTCCTTTTCATTTTTTTTTTACTCACTCGGAATTACCGTCCGAGTTCGGCCGCTCGAAACCGCTTATCAAGATCCAAATTCATCTCATTAATCTCGCATCCCTTTCACTCCCCAGACCCCAGACTCTCTCACCATCACCCACTAACACATAATATCACATATACCCTCATAATGACAATACTCATCCTCCGTCCCGCATTCAAACATCCTCTCCGCCACATCCAACGGCGCTTCCAATCCTCACCCCCTAAAAAAGACCCCGTTCCCGTACCCGCCACCGTCGCCCCCCTGCCGTTATGGCAGCGCCTCGGCCCTTTGACAACAGCTGTGCAGGCTTATGCGCGTGCGCAGAATAAGAGTCCGTATAAGACGCAGGTTGCTACTGCGGTGGTGATTTACATCGCGGGGGATTTGAGTGCGCAGTATGTTAGTGGCAATGAGTATGATCCTGTGAGGACGTTGAGGAATGCGGTTATTGGGTGTGTTGCTGCTATACCGAATTATAAGTGGTGAGTCTTTCTTCTTAGTTTCAGTGAGAGAGTATGAGTGAGGTTAGAGTTTCGTACTGATATTCTGTTCAGGTTCATGTTTCTTTCACATAACTTCAACTACTCCTCCCGTCTTCTCTCCCTCGCCACAAAAGTAACCGTTGGCCAAGCCGTCTTCACCCCAATATTCAACACATACTTCTTCGGCGCCCAAGCCCTGCTCTCCGGGTGTGACATCCCCGGCACAATCGAGCGTGTCAAAGACACAGTACCAACCAGCATCATTAATTCCTGCAAATTATGGCCCATGGTCACGGCATTTAGTTTTTCGTTTTTGTCGATTGGGTGGCGGCCTTTGTTCCATGGTGTTGTGGCGGTTGGGTGGCAGACGTATCTGAGCTTCTTGAATAGGATGGCTGAGGTTAAGGAGAGGGAGAGGCATGCTAGGGAGGGCAAGATGGAGGTTGGAGAGAGGGTTGGGTATGCTGTTGCTGAGGCTGCCTAAGAAAGGGCAAGATTTCTTTTGTTTGGGTTTGGGATAGACTTGGGTTCAATAGAACAGATAAAGATGGCGTTTAGGTTGAATAGACAATTTTCTTATGTTATAGCTTGGCGGCGATAAAAGTCAACAACATCTTGTGGTATGGACTGACAGATAAACATGATTTTCAACTTGCTGGACTGTTCCTCTGAGTCAGAGCTGGAAATTGAATTAGGTACATCAGTAGGAAGAAAGGGCTGTAACTCGTGGAAGAGAAAAGATTCGAGAAGCAATGTAGATTTTTGAAGCCTGAAATTTAAGAAATTTAAGAAAATTATTGTGAGTTTATTTACTCCGTTTACAGGATATGATACTTCAAATGCCAAGAACCGGTTCTATATGCTCCCTGTTCTAAGAATAATTGTTTCCTCCCAGGGATCAACATAACAGAATAACGGCTTGCAACCTGCATCACTTTTCAAATACTGAATCGACCCAGTGTATCAACAGTGGCCAGTTACGATCCTGTTCCTGCTCAGATACGACTATGAATCCCTGCAAGCCACGGCGCTAATCACACATTCCAGGTTCGATAGCGAACACGCTAGCTACATTCCTCCTGCACGTCTCAGCTCAGCCAGCCCGAAACAAAAACATCAGCTCTCCACTTCCCCACGAGATTTCCATCTTCAGGACCCCAGGGATCGGCCCGGAGCGACATGCATGGTCCAGATCCATCTATATCATCAAAGCGGCTCACTGTCCCGTTCGGAGGCGAATCAAATGAATGCCGAGTCGCCGCCACGGGGACCAAGCGCACGAGCTGAAATTCCAATGGTGCGATACTCGTTGGCCATGTTCCGGGGGTCGTTATCCTTTGAGTCTAAATCATGATGAAAATCATCCCTGAATAACGGCAAGGCGTTCGATATCACAGAGTTTGCGCGGTGTGAAATGAGTTGAAGGTGATGGCGCTTTGACTTCATTTGCTGGCGATTGCTGTAAGTTTGCAATTGTCGGGTCCTAATGTTCAGGTAGCCACTGGACTTTCAGCTGGTGATAGGCAAAGCCATGCAGAAAATTATCGAAGTGAATTCCAGAGGGAACAGACATCAAAGAACTCTCAACTCATTTGTGAGGCTTCACCTGTGAAATGGAGGAGGACAAGGTCTGAGAGTTAACTATATATTGCTGGTCCACCTCGTGCCATATCCTAACATCCTCATTAGCAACAACCCTTCAATCCCACCAATTGCCTCTTCTATTCTCCCAGAACCCTTTCCACTTTAGTAATTACAATGTTCGTCTACGAAGGCCGTCTCGACTGGAAGCCCTACGGTGATAACGAGACTTTCGTTATCATCTTACCTGACGGTCCAGTCCGCGTCGGTGACACCGCCTACCTCTTCTCCCAATGGACCAAAGACGCGCAGGGCACCAAGAAGGCCAACTTCTTCCAAAAGTCCGCCATCGAAAAAGTCTCCAAGACTCCCAGCGGCGATGATATCTTCATCGCCAAGGCGTCCTACTACAGCTGGGAGATCACCTCCCGCGACGTCTACGGCAAGCTCGACGTCGTTATGTCGAACCCAGCTGGTGCCAAGAGCAACATGTCGTTCAAGCGGATCTGGCAGTCCAAGAGTGAGCAGGCCACTGGGGCTGCTAGGATCTGGACTGGCAAGATTTCTTGGTCCAAGTATGCTAGTGATGAGATGAGCATTTTCATCGTCCCTGAGGGGTTTGGTGATGGAAAGCCTGTTCTGTCGCTTTGGCAGTGGACTCATGATGATACTGGTACTGAAAAGTCTCCGTCCTTCCGCGCCGAGTCCCAGAAGATGCTTTCTGGTGCTGGAAAAGGCGTCAAGTTCTCTTACCATTCGTACTATGATATTACGTGTACCTGGGATGAGAAGACAGAGAAGCTTGCTGTCCACATGAAGGGACCTGAGGCGAACCAGGATCTTGGCGAGTACACTTTATCCGCTTTGATTGATCGCCACTCCCAGTAAGTTTGAGGCCACAGGCTCATTCCAATGCTAACCGCCATTCAGTGACTGGACCCCCCCAGAGTATTCAACCCCCGACAAGGCCGAGGTCGAAGTCCGTCTTCCCCAGCCTCAGCCGTCTCTTCCTCGCATTCTTGGACCCCTTCCTTTCCCCAAGAATCTCATTGACACTCTGCGACATACCATCGCCTTTGCCGATCAGGCTGGTTATCTCGCCAAGTATGCTGAGGATGTAAGTGCCAACTATTGACTTGCCATGGCATTAGCTGATGACTACAGCGATTCAAAGCCCTTGATGCCAACTTCCATGCTCGAGGTGAGCAGCTCAACGCTGCTAACACGGAGAATAACGAGCTCAGGAAGGAGATCAAGAAGCTCACCGATGATCTCACCGTTGAAAAGACCAAGACCGGTGATTTGACCAAGAGACTCTCTGACACTCAAGCCGCCCATGCTGCCGATCTCAAGGAGAGAGACGAAAAGCTCGCCAAAAGCAAGAGTCATGATATTGAGGACCACAAGGCCATGGAGAAATTGGTTTCCCAGCTTGAATACGAGCGAGCTTCTAAGACTGAGGTCCAGAAAAAGCTTGACCAGGCGATTACTGATCTCAGAGCCGCCGAGGCTCGCCTTAAGACTGAAGCCGCCAAGATTGTTGCTCTCACTGCTCGTATCGCCACTCTCGAAGCAGAACTCGAAATTGAGAAGCGAGAGGGTGAGAGACTCCGCGGTGAGAACAAGCAGAAGGATGAGACCATCGCCAAGCTTGAGAAGGCCAAAAATGACCTCCAGTGCCAGCTAGAACAGGCCCAGGATGATGCCAAGGATCTCGACAAGCTTGCAAAAGAAAGGGGTGTGACGATCGGCGAGAAAGGTGATGAGATCAAAAGGCTCAACAGCGTCATCGAGACCAAGGAGAAGGCGTTTCTCAAGCTCCAGGAGGAGATGAATGAGAAGGCTAAGGAGTTACGGACTCACATGCATGAGGGTCATGTTACACCTACTCCTGCTCCTGCCCCTGCCCCTGCCCCTACTGTTGTTCCTGAGCCTAAGCTTCACTTCAAGTGTAACATTCGAAGTGAAAGCTCCAGAGGCAGCAGTCATGTCTTCTTCGACCTCAACGGCGCAGGTGGCCAGAACCCTCCAGTTCATGCCATGTAAGTGTCATCCCGTCCATAATACATGATAGTAGCTGACCTCTGTTAGTTCCGATGGAACGTACAAGTGGAACTCCAACCAGATCTGGGAGATCTTCTCCGTTCCTGGGTCCAACACGCGCGTCATCATCAAGAACGCGGGCAACAGCTTTGTCCTCTTTTCAACTGGTGAGTACATGAATCCACATAATGGACCAGATTGCTTACGAAGGATATAGGACACGGAAAGAATGTCCAGTGCGAGAGAAACCGCGATGTCTCTGACCTTGCAGCTCAGTGGGATCTTGAAGGCGCGACAGTCGACAACGTCAACGACAACACGCAAGTTCGGTAAGTGGCACAACATCTTACATATGAAATAAAAGCTGACGAATGATTTAGATTTCGTAATGCTAAGGATGGGACGTACCTTGATCTGTCTGGTGGAAACATTGCTAATCACACCGCTTTCCTAACCTACAATGGGCATGGTGGTGCGAACCAGGCTTTCAAGCTTTGGAAGCACTAGGACTGGTATTGCAGTGACGCGGACTTTTCTTTCTACTTGGTGCGATTTATTGAGTTGACTTGGCGAAATTGAACTTGTATTCTTTTATGTGTCACTGGATCTGCCTCTCGGTGACTTTTGAGAGGAATCAAGAATTCAAGATGACTCACTTGTCATTCTTTCAGGCATGCTATCATCATTCATTAAAAATAATACATACTCTCCCCGAAACAAGACTGACAAGTCTGCGATAATTACTTGTGTCTAATGTGTTAGAATCATCGAATCTTCCTGAGCGTTGAAGCATTGTTGGGCAATAGAGTAGTCTGTTGATATGGATGGAGCATTAATTTGAGGTTGGTCAGATAGGCGTACGGTAGTCAGGTTGTAGGACATGCAAGGCTACCTAGCCATTAGATACAGTTGAGATTGAAGAGCAGTAGAACCAGTCAAACTTGGAGCAATCAGGATAGTGCAGTTCGTGAAGCTATGTTTTTAATGACATAAGGGGTGTTACAATTTGGAAATTCTTAGGAGCTCGCTCACATGGCAAGTTTTCAGGCCGAAAGTGTGTTAATCTCGATGCTGTTAGTTTGGTAAAGGAATTCTAACTGCATAGTGCAAGACAATGAATCTGGAGACTCAGAGACGCCATTCAGATGCAATTAAGCACAGGAGTAAGTCTATCATAAAAGATATACAGATGAAGAATTGAAACCACCAACCCTAAGTAAACTTGTTCAGATGGCAAGCCTTGACAGTCGACCCCTCCATACCAGGAATGGACTTCCCACTTGGTGTTTTGACACTCAAATCATTTCCAGCACAACCACCGCCGTTCGCCCAAAGATAAGTGAACGGAATAGCATCGCCCTTCTTCAACTGAATCTGGTACGAACCTCCCTTCCACAAAGCAGAGTTCTGTCCCGTTCGCGTCCCCTGAATAGCCCAAGCACCGTAATTCCACGTATACGCTGCATCCTTAACCCAGAGATAACCCCAGTTGTCAATGGTATCTGGAACAGAGAAGGTATACGTTCCTGTTTCTTTGGCATAGAAGTATGCGTTGTAGAGAAGCGCTGATTGGGAAGCATCGAATGTTCCGCTGCCGGGGATGGTGAGGGAGCTGCAGGCGCCGAACTGGAGGGTCTGCGCGTTGCCTGACGATAGCACGGGCTTGCCTTTGAAGTAATTGGTTGTGAATCCATCGTCGTAGATGTTAGCGTTGAAAGGGCATTGGAATCGACGGTAGGCAATGTCGTTGTTGTCAGCAAAGGTAGTCTCGACGACCCAGGCTGTGACAGTAGAGGTCTTCTTCTCAGTGACGGTTGATGTGAAGACACTGACTGATGTAGTCGTGATGATCTTGGTACTATTTACAGTTAGGTCTGCACTGAGTTAAACAAATGAAACGAGACGTACTATTCTTCAACGGGAGTCACAGCATCTGTCGAAGTTGTGATGAACGTCGTAGGCTCAACTGTCTGGATGGTTGTATGGGTCGTAGGTTCCTCGATATCAAGACACGAGCAGATATCAGAGGTTTGAGCCTCAGTCCAGTCAGAAGGTATAGCCTCAGGGACATCAACCGCGTCCTGGCCACGCTTCTCTGGGTGCGGAGTGCCTCGATCGATGGTAGGAACTGGGGCAACGTAGGAGTATGCGCTGTCAAGACATGTAATTGTTTCGATCGATCGCGTCGACGTAACCGTGGCCTCAGACCACTACCACAATGTTAGTACACGATTCTCAAGTATAGTCAGTAGAACTTACCTCGGTATTGGTCTTGAACTCTGTCAAGATTGCAGTTACGCCGTCGTAATTAGTCTCGATGTGCGTGAGAGCGTCGGCGGTGATGGTGACGACATCGACTTGGTACACGTTTGTGGGATCGGTTGTTGCATACTCAGTGCTGCGAGATGTAATTAGTGAACGTTCTAAGTTCACCGAGGCAAAGAACTTACATTGTATGCGTGGTCATGGAAAGGTAGCTGACACAGAAGGGAGAGGCAACTGGGTCAAAGGCTAGCATTGAGATGACATCTGCATTGTCGTAACAGAACTCAGATGTGGACGTTGGCGCAGCGGCTGTAGACTCGGTGGTTGTACCCTCGGTTGTGGTATGCTGAGTTGTCGAAGGGTCAGTGGTGGCGCCGCTGGTGGGTTGTGTAGTATCGGTTGTTGGCTGAGTGCCAGACCCAGTTGTGTCTTCGGTCGTCGGGAGCGTCGTGGGAGAATCAGTCGTAGTCGTGCCCGTCGTAGGCTGATCGGAGGATTCGGTAGTAGGACCAGTGGCTGTCTCAGTCGAAGATTGAGTGGGAGGGTCTACAGTGGCCTGACCAGATAGCTCAGTCGTAGTAGTACCAGTTGCAGTAGCATCATTGGTACCATCGGTAGTTGGCGCGGTAGTAGGCTCAGTCGTTTGATCCACGTCAGTAGTACCAGTCGTGATACCCCCCGAGGTCATGGTACCAGTAACAGTAGTACTAGCAGAAGGTCCAAGGGTTTCTGTCCCACTGGTTGAAACCAAGACATCACTGCTTTGAGAACCAGTTTCAGAAATAGAGAGACCTTCAGAAACAGATCCGGAGCTGGACAGCAACGTAGCCAAAGTGGTGGAACCCTTTGACGTGACCGTCTCAGAGCCAATGGTCACAGATGAAGTGGCCTTCTCTGTACCGGAAGACACAGAAGTGGCAGTAAGTGTCGTATCCGAGAACTCAACCGAAGCAGTCGAAGAGGGAATGCCAGTGACGGCAGTCGAAGAGACAGACGCCCTAGAACTCACAGGCTTGCAAGGCCCAGCGTACGATGTAGCAACCACAGCCGCGGCTAGCAATACCCTGTGAAACAGCATCGCAAAATGAATGACAGGTAAACGAGTGACTGCGCAAAAAGGAGTAGAAATCGGGATGAAGATTCACGAGTCAACACGGAGAGAAACCTCCTTTTATCCATCCTGTCTAGATTCTTTACACCCTAACACTATTTCCAAATCGCAGGCCTCTCGGATATTTGCTTTTCCGCTCTACTAAGGTTATCTGTTGGTGGCTTCTTTGTTTATCTAAGTAGCGCAGCTGAAAAGTCTATTGTGTTTGAACTATTGGCAATATTGTTGGAAATATCGTGTGTTGTTGGCGGGGCGGGCTCAGTACCTGCGTTAGTGCGATCAGGGCTATTAGGGGTGGGCCAGTGGCCCTGCTGTTGACATTTTGACCAGGGCTGACAAGCCAACCGGATAAGCAAGCCGACTACTTTCCTTAACCTTTTTAATCTATAGCTTAAAAGCTTAAGCTGCAAGTTCCTTTTAAAGCTTTAGCAAATAGGCTAGTAAAATAGTCTTTTCTTTTTTCTAATAGTATCTAGACACACAGTGTTTAACGCTGATCTCGCACAGTACAGACTCATTTAAGGTTTCACTCAACGTCCACCAACAACCTTATTATTACAAGGACTTCCATGACTCGTTGCATTGACCATTCTCATCTTGACCGCCTGGCTCACTGCCACTTTGTCCGAATCTTCGTTTCTCCTTTTCTAGTGCATAGACTTCACACAAAGCAAAGGTAAATCCTCCGTCTAGTTGGATCTCACAAGGCGGTATTTTTGATCATTTGCTGCCACTGGAGCTTTGTAACTCCTCAACCATGAGCATAAGCCTTTTAGTGATGTCTTCAACTCGTTCAGCTCTCGTTCAGCTACCAGGGAACCCTGGGATACTTGCCATTTGTTATTGGAGCTTCAAGGATTCAGGACAACCCTGATCCCTCACCAAAGTAAGTATTGGCGATGACATTTCCTGGCGCTTCGCTTACAGAAGCAAGTGCAAGTTGCGCCAGTAAGCGACGCGCATCAAGTAATGATTTGCCGGGAAGGATCATGCATTCAGGAGGGAGGAGTTTCATCAGGCGAGAGATGATGAGAAAGGGGAGCACAAAAGCCCCATCAGTTCGCTTACATGAACCAATCAGAACTGAAGATTGGAACCAACAACCAACAGCAACCAACAAGAGTCAGTGCAAATAAGCAGACCGGTCCAGAACTCACCCCCTCAAGCTCAGCCAGCCACAAAAGAAGTTTACCTCATGCGTGAATCTCGCCTACGCCGTAATCAGAGGACAACAAGCTGCTACTGGGAGAGTAATACGCAGGCAGAGCTGGGAAATTGGTCAGATGCAAGCGGTTAATTTATAGAAATAAAAAGGTCTTGCAGACTCAAGTGAGCCGCTTTAAGCAGATTACAGAAGCTGAAGTACTTATACTTCCCAAAGCTCGACATGCTCTGATAATTTACCGCTGGGCGGCATCTCCGCTGACCAACCAATTGGGACTAGAACACTCTAGGTGAGTCAAGTTGAGAAAAGAATAGACATACGTAAATAAGTAATATTCAAAGACCCACGAATTTTGTTCAGCTCTCGGCCAGGACCTTAGATCAAAACAGTGGACTGTCCTGAATTTCGTCTTTGAGAGAACCCCCCCCCCCCCCCCGGTTCTTTTATGGTTTCAACAGGCATATTCCGTAACTAAACAATAACTCTAAAGTTATCTGCCGATGTGCTGAAGTATGTATCTTCGATGTTGAGGTTTGGCTTGCAGAACTGCCCACTGATTCGTCTCAATCTAACACCCATTCTCTTGTGCGAGAACACCAAGGCCAGCACCAGGATATTCATCTGACTATTAACTAATTTATCAAATTATAAACGCGGGCTACAAATCTTATTTCATTACAAGATGCTCCAAACATAACTGCTGTATTACCTAATAAACCATCCAGCCCTAAATCATTCGCCCCAGTGGCGTCCAACCCTCCGGTAAGCGACGGAGATCATCACCAAATCACAACACAGGGAGAAAAAAACATGTGGCATTCAATTGGGGTGCCAGAATAAACTGGTCTAAAAGCTGGATTAAAAGGGACTGAGGTTACCTAACTTTTTTCATCACTGAGATCAGAAGGCCTAAGTTTTCTTGCGTCCGCTCACCACAGATCCAGACCCCCGAATCAATCGTGACCACGCGCGACATAGCCCAATCGGAGTAGCCATCATCCCAATTCTATCCAAAGCCAAGAAATGGCTGATCGAGCTGAAAAGGTAAAAGGCTGTATCGGGAAAAGTGACGCTTGGCTGTACTACCAGAATAAGCTTAAAATAAAGAAATGGCGTTAGCTAGACTGGCCGATTCAGCCTCAGGCATGCCATCGAGTTTGCCCTTGAGGACAGCTGGGTTAATATCCTTGTCCCTTTCCCCAGTGCATGAATTTCCTGTCGCTTTAACATTGATGCTTCTGTGGGATTGTAGGGAAAGGGAGTTATCATGGCGCAGTATAGTCAAGTCCACCAGGGCGTCTACGAGATGGGATCAGATGGGTTCTCAACGTATCATCAAACTTCAAACCCCAATGATCCATCTAGCTACGGTTACTTCCCCAGCGGTAAACCTGCGCCATTTCCAACAAACACCGAGTTCGAAGACCGCCAACGCCTCATACACCAAAATGCCCCGACAGGCTTCCAACGACCAGCACAGCGCCAGCCTTTGCGACGAAGACTCGGCAAAACGGGAATGACCATCATCATCCTCGGAACAATCGTCATTATTACCTCATGCGCTCTTCTCGTCTATCTCTGGCAAGGTGCCGAGAAAGCGCGCAACAGACAGCCCCGAGGCAAAGAATGGGACAGAATCATCTTTGACAACTACGCAGCGCAAGTTGCAACACTTTGCTCCGCTGCAATCCGAGTATCGATGGATTTGCAGACTTGTCTCGCTGCTGCTTCAATGGCAGCTATTGTCCTGGAAACCGCCGGTTGCCGACTCTCTGATCTGGCCCGATTGTCAATCTCTAGAGCCTCTAGTTGTGATGCAAGTCCGTGGGATATCTTCCTCATCACAAAAGGCAACAGGAAAACCTTGTTCCACTGCATCATCTTACTATTTAGTTTTATCCTAAGTCTTGCTATGACCTTTACGTCGACGATCTTGCTTTTCGACTTTAAGGCGCTTCCGATCGCTGCGCCGATGGTCTCGGAGTCAATTCATGTTGGGTTCGATATATCCAAGGATACAGCTGTGTTCTCTGGTGTATCTTACTGGCAGTCCAAGCCGTCAGCACACTGGAGATTTGCAGAGACGCGGCCTTCAAGCCAGAGACTTGCGCCTAAGGATGTGGCAGACACTGGAGACGTTTATCGAGCCATGATACCGATGGCTAATGTTGATAATCGAACTTCACTGGAGTATTACTCTGGACCTACGATTGTCAGTAACATGAGGACAGCATGTGTAGCACCAAATTTCAATAATGCTACATTTAAGTATATATACACCGGAAGCAATGCTACAGAGGGTCTTTATCTCCAAGCAGAATTCAACAGTTTGACTGGTTGGGAGTCAGGGCCCAGCATAAACGGTTCATATCCAGCGACACTCTCGTGCCGCATCAACAACGAATGGGACCAAACGAACTCTACGTCCTGGCCCATATCATTCTGCAGTTTCAACATGAAAGAGCTAGCTCCCAAGAACAAAAGTTTCACGAACCCGCTTTCTCGTCATCCATACAACTTTCACCCAGTACTTCTCCTCAACGCGAGCGATAGTCTGATTCAGTTGAGACCCATGTATGACAGGGCTACAAAAACTTGGTCGAATGTGACGATTCCTGAAGGTATGCAAATGGCGAATTCAACGAGCAAAGGCCCATGGACGACAGCAACGAATAAAAACAACACCCAGCTCTTCCAAGCGAGTGTATGCTTCCTCACTCAGAACACACCACTTCTATACAACGTCACCATGACAGGTAGAGCAATACCATCCGAGCCAACGTCCATAGCAAAGTGGAAAACACTGCAGGGCAAGAACGGGACAGAATTTCTCAAACAGCTCGGTGTAGGCGTATCGCCCTCTGACAACGAAGCAAGAGGCATTCTAGATCTGAAAGTGCTCTCAGGGCCAGCTTCTATGGCGGATACAGGGGTTGCTGACTGGGATGAATGGGTCTACCAAATGATTCATTTCAGCCTTTTCGACTATAGTATTTCCGGTGGATGGACCTTCAACAACGATGCTTTGCAAGGATGGTTTGATACATTAGCGAATTGGCCGGCGCACCCAGAGCATTCGCATCTCTTTCAGAGTGTTCTCCAAGAAACGGATGATCCAGCACGAGCGGTCCAGGAGTTATTCTTTCGGTTCTACCAGATGATCTTCCACGATATCTTACCGTATTTCACACAACAACAGTCGGTTACTACAATCAATGTCAAACATGTGCTTATTCCCAATCAATGGACGGGCTTGATAGTTATTCTGTCAGGAGTTATCCTGCACTTGGTTCTTACGTTGATAACTATTATCATGTTTATGGCTTCGACGAAGAGCTCTATCCTTGGGAATGCATGGCATGCTGTGTCGCAGATCGTTTCCCCAGAGACGAGTGTTGTGGTGGAGACTGTGGCGAGTAATGGGATGAGGGATGTTGATGTTGCGAAGTGGGCGGAGTCAACGGGTTCTGATGGGCAGGTGTATGGGTTATCCACATGTGCTGATAACAAGGTTCGCAAGCGGTAGAGAACGTTGCATGAGGTTGCATTATCACCAAGAACAGAGAAACATATTCGTTAACGATGTTGTGCAAATCAAACGAATTACAAGCTAAATGTGCTATTTGCAATCCGTAGCCAGACCCTTCTCGGCTCTCTTTGAGCTACGGCAACTAGAAGGGGAAAAGAAAAATTAGGACCTTGATCCTCAATAATTCAAAGACTTAGGTAACCTAGTATAAGCTTAGGATAAATTTAGGATAGAATTTACTGAGTTTGGTTTATACCTTATGTCAAGGCTTGATGTTTCTTGCCCCTACAGACGAACTACTTGAAACTTCTTCCGTGAAATCCAGGAAGAATCTGCTGTCCTTCCAGCTCATCATACGTGATTCCCCTCTTCTGCGACTGCTGCCAAGTCTGCTTCAACGTCGTAAACTCTCCCATAGTTGGAACACGATGATTTCCCCTCTCAAACTCATTCTGCGTGTATCCCTCACGCTTCAAAAGAGGTGAGTCAATTGTATTAAGCACGAGATCGTTCTCTGCGCGCGAGAAGTACAAAAGACCCAACCGGTCTACGTTGCGCTGATCCTTAGGAGGGACAGATACCTAACCTGTTAGTCTTTGAAACAGGTTCAAGACGACGACTTACCCGATGGATGGTAGACTGTACATAACCCCCTGTGAGAAAGCTCAATGCATCACAAGCATTAACTGTTAAACTTCCATCAAGAGGCTTGGCCCACTTCCAATCACCAGTCTTGTGATCCTTGATCTGAAGACCGGCTACAGGTTGACGGAAGAGAAGAGTGTATGAGCCAAGATCAGTATGGCCGCGAGACCAAAGACCGTCTTCGAGCTTTTCAATCTCTTCGGGGGAGAACTTTCCGTATTTCATGTAGCGAAGGTGGGATTCGTTGTGGGTTCCCCATTTGTGTAGGTTGACGAGGTGGTCTTCTGGGATTTGGAGGGCGAGGGCTGTGAGATGGTAGAGAGGGTCGAGGACTTTTTCGTGTAGGTCCTTGAGGTGGGTGTTAGTGTGGTTGGGGTCCACAAGAGTGAATGGATTTACCTTTGCGAAAGAGGTGATTTCTTCGATATGGTCTTTCAGTAGCTTAGGGACAGGCTGCGTGATCTTTCCATTATCCGCTACATTAAGTCAGTACTGCAGTCTATTGAGTTTGGGACCAACTTACTAGCCATATTCCAAACCTCGGTCTTCTCCTTCACACCACCCGACAGAATCCTTCGTCCACCAGGTCTGTACCCATTATACTCCCCCGCATCAAGATCAGGAACATATTTGAGCTTCTCTTCGATGGGGAGGTTATAAAAGGCATTACCAAGAGCGAATTGTCTGTCAATGGCAGATTGAGGAATGTCGAACTTGGTTACGTAGAAGAAACCCTTGGTGCGGATTGCTTCGATGAGAGTTTGGGCGAGTTCGGCATTTCCTTCGGGGGTACCGTATTTAGAGAGGTCAATGTTTGCCACTGTAAATGTTAGATATGGATGAGGAACAGGGGACGAGGGGAAGTACAGTCTGCCCAGTCGAGATCTTCCTTTGTCTCTGGGACGTAGGAGTAATGGGGAATATCTGAGACAGCAGAAGGCATGTTGTTCTATATCAACGAAATACACGGAGATTATGGTTTGAATTACAGAATTTGAAGAAAGACAGCTAGTAGATATATATGCGCGACATTTAGTATGCTGACATATCAATGGGAATAACGATGTCGTGATTGACTTTCTCCGCATGAGATGCCACGCTGTGGAGGGGAAGATGTTTTCCGATGTTGATCAACTGCTTGCTCAATATCGATAACAATGGCGCAATTTCATTCTTGGGGCTTAGTCAGAATAACGACTTCAGCAACGCTATCTGAGGCTCTTGATTGGGAACTCAACGTTTTGATTCAACTCTTTCGCTAATTGTGAATTCTTGTACTGCACGAGAGAGGTCATGTGTCTTTATTATTTGAACGACAGCGGATGGTTAGTGCAGTCCATGATTCTCCGTACTAGACGCGGCTTCTGTCTATTGATATTGTCTGGAAAGCCTTGGTAATGCCAGCTCGTTGACAGCGTTTGTAGTCACGAGATATGACAAATTCTTACTTATTGATTGGACTATCAAACCATCTCGAAATAGCGATTTGGAATTGCCCTGTGCCGCATTCAGCTCGGTTGGAATGAGTTAGTGCAGGGATATGACAGGTGGGCCCATCAAAGTCACATCAGACCATTAACAAATAAAGCTCTCAATTTCAAGCCAACATCGCCAACTTCATTTGAAATTCGCGCAATGACCATAGCAGCTTCTCAGCTACGACTAAAGTCATGGAGACGAGATGAATTTCTCATCTCGACCGACCCCTCACTGATTCCAGTCAAGGATGTCATCAAGATCTTTACCTCGGACGAATTCTACTGGGCAAAGCCTCTCCCAGAAGATGCGACCCGAGAAATGCTCGACAATGGCCTCAGCTTCGGTCTCTACGACACAGACACAGACTCACCACCCCCATCTCCAGGTAATCCCGTAAAAAAGAAGGCCGCCGGCCCAAAGTTCATCGGCATCGCGCGCTGCGTTACAGACTTCACAACAGTCCTCTACATAACCGACGTCTGGGTCACCCCCGCCTACCGGAGCGAAGGACTAGGTACATGGCTCATGGAATGCGTAAATGAAGTTGCCGAGTCAATGCCCCATTTGAGAAAGAGTATGCTTGCTACGGGTGATTGGGAAAAGAGTGTTCCATTTTATGAGAGGGTTATGGGGATGAAGGTTACGGAGGGGACGAGAGGGGAGACTAGGGCGATTATGGAGAAGAGAGGAAGAGGGAATCCGAGATATGAGGAAGAGAAGGGAGGGAAGACGGAAGGACAGAGATGAAGATTGATTTTTGGTAGTTTTTATATGTTGATCCTTAACTTCTTGTTACATCATGTCATCAAGTCACGGTTATAGAAATGTATTGCCCGAGGTTGAGTGGCCAACAGAAAATGCGGGGTTACCCACCAACCTCACATCATACATCAACCACCAAATTCATCATCCCAACCCACAATCTCTCATTACATAAACACGAACCTATCATAAACTCAACAAAAATGCCGTTCCCCAAGCTCCCCCCAAGAGCCGCCTACATCAAACTTTCAAACCCCACCAAGCGCAACGCCCTCAGCATCCCCGTGCTCAGAGACCTCAAGTCCCAGCTCGACAGCGCCCTCGCGCTACGACCTGCCAGTCGCATGGGCATTCTTCCCAAATTCAGCCAGCAGGCTCTCAATGAACTCGAATGGGCATTAAAAGGCCCAAAGTCGAAGCACTGGGAACGTTGGGGCTGGCTCGTCAGCGCATCTGAGTGGAAGAAACAACGTGCCGGAGCACCTGATGTTCTGGTACTTCGGAGCGAAGGGCCTGTATTCTCATCGGGCCATGATCTCAAAGAGCTTTCCGAGATGAGTCGGGATGATGTCAGGACTCTGTTTGAACTTTGCGCCGATGTCATGAAGACTATTCGGAGGAGCCCTGTGCCGGTTGTTTGTCCGATCCAAGGCATTGCGACAGCTGCTGGGTTCCAACTTGCCATGAGCACCGACTTCCCGATTGCTCTACCAGATACTCAATTTGCTCTCCCAGGAGCAAAGATCGGATTGCCGTGCACTAGCCCCTCAACCGCAGTTTCACGACGTTTGCCCGCCGCGACGACATATCGACTCCTCGCCACAGCAGAGCCAATCAAAGCATCGGACCACCCAGATGTTATCGATGTTGTCAAAGTCTCACCGGGGCAAGATCCAGAAGAGGCTTTCGAGAAACGTGTGTTAGATGTGGTTGAGCGGCTGCTTTCTATGTCGCCTCAACAGCAAGCGGTAGGAAAATGGGCGTATTGGACGCAGTTTGAATTTGGAAAATCGAATGGTGATGGATACGAGCAGGCTTCTCTATGGGCGGCTAGGGTCATGGCTTTGCATGCGAGGAGCGAGGATGCGAAGGAGGGTGTTGCTGCATTTTTGGAGAAGAGGGAGCCTGTTTGGATAAGCAGTGGTGAAGTTGAGGAGACGGCGGCTGAGGTTGTCGCACCGGAGACTGGTGCTCCTGTGACTCAGGCTGATGCCGCGGTGATTGTTGATGCTCCTGCAGCTGAAGTAGCTAATCCTGTTACGGAGGAAGTTGCTTCTTCTACTGAGGCTGATGCCACTGCCACTGGGGCTGGTGAATCTACAGCCGAGAGCCAGACGCCCGAGAACAATGTTGATCGTACTACTCCGACAGATCGTAGCTAGACTTGTGACTAAAAGCTTAGAGTGGCGGCATATCTGCCCTGGCTTCAGCTTGGGGATGAATCGTTCATGATATATAAAGCTTTTGCAGCCTCTGAAAGAGGTTAGTAGTCAATTGTTAGTCACAGTAGCTACGAAGTCATATATTTAATCAAGTTTCGAGGTTTTAGGACCATTCCAGCTTGTCGCGTCAAGAGGCACGGTACCCTCTTCAGCTAACTTTGCTCCTTGCACCGCTCAAGTTCTCAACCCAAGTCACTATTTCCCTCGCAGATGAGACAATTCTATTGAGAGTCATGAGACGCTCAAGGCTACCGTGAAAACCTTTCCCCTTTCCGCCTAAAGATATACCTCATACTACAAGAGGACGAACCGACTGAGAACGGGAGAAGGGCGTGTGAGATGGCATGCTTACTCGATACCAGCAGTAGCCCAAGCCAGGAGAAAGGCTGTAAACCGTTGATGTGTGCAGAAGAGGCCGGCGACATCGACACGCTTACAACGCTTCTTACTGACGGTTGCGACATCGACATCGACATCGACGCACGCAAATACGACGGCTGCAGGTCGTTGGCACTAGCTGCCAAAAAGGGACATAGCACTGTGGTAGAGCGACTGCTTGAACACGACGCCAACCCCAACTTGAGCGACCTCGACTACGTCACACCGTTATGAAAGGCCGCTCGGCATGGACATATATCTGTCGTGCAACTGTTAATAGCAGCACTAAGCTGTCAGATGACAAGCCGCGGCCTTCATACCTCCACGAGCATGGAATGGACACGCCCCTCTCCATTGCGATCAAGGAGGTCCATCAAGAAACAGCCGAGCTACTTTCACGCGCAGATTGCATCAACCCATGCCTAACAGCTTATCTATCCATGCAACGTTACAGGGAAAAAGTCAGCATATTCAGCCTCGCTATTCGTGGTAAATTCGAAAACGTGGCGTTATCTGTGCTGGATAAATGCGATACTGCTCACGACTCACAAGATGCTGACAACAATGGTACCAGGGACACTGTTGAGCCTGCATCGAAGCTCCTGGTTTTCGCTGTGGCAGCTGGATGCTCTAGTATTGTTCAAGAGCTTTTGACCAAACACGACACTGATGTTAACGCGGTTCATGTATACTACGTAGGAGAAGCACTAGGCTGGGTTGTAGACAGCTCACTAATGGCGGCGTCCAGGCACGCCGATCTGGGCACTGTCCGTTTGTTGCTAGATATGGACGAGACCAGATCGGGCGTCAGTTCGAAGCATAGCGGTACGGCTAACACCGCTTCTGCCCAGGGACGATTCGCTGATGTTGTCAAGACTCTTATTGCTGATGACAGGTTCGAAGTTGACTGTGAAAGTGGTGCTGGGCGCAATGCACTTTCATTTCCGGCCGAGAGCGGCTCCGAGGCTGTGGTGGACGAACTGCTAGCAACCGGAGCCGTCGATCCGAACGGCCGAGAATCCAGGGCTAGAACGCCGCTTATATGGGCCGCAAATTCGGGGAGAGGATACGGTCCTGGTGGTCGGCAGTCACATGAGAGCGTGACCCGCAGGTTGCTGGCCAATAGACAAACTGCTGTTAATGCTAGGGACTCACAGGGCCGCACGACGCTATGGTACGCGGCTAATAGTTGCGCTGTAGGGCTCGTCATGGCTCTTCTAGAGCATCCTCAGATTGACTCGGCGGCTGGGCCTGGGCACAACTCGCCTTTGGCAGCAGCTTTGTTTGGCCATGCGGATGTGGTTCAGGCACTGCTAAGTAAAGGGCGGGTCGACGTTAACAGCGTCGTAATTCAGGTGAATAAAAGAACAACGCTCATAGACGTGGCCCAGTACGGTTAAGTGGAACACGAAAGTACAGCTCGAGTTCTACTATCCTTCCCCGGTATCGATGCGAACTCCCAGGACGATTATGGTTTGACAGCATTGATGCTGGCTACTTTTCAAGGCACAATGGGAATGGTCAAGCTTGTTTTGACATCTGGAGGTGATCCAAACCTACAGGATCGCAGGAGAAACACTGCTCTGAGCTACGCAAGAAATTCGAGATAATGAGCGCGATTCTCGACCACTCAGGGATCAAGCTTAGTCTCCCTAACAAAGAGGGCCGGACGGCACTTTCTCTCGTTGCAGGGATGGTAAAATCGAAAGTGCCAATGCGCTACTCGCACGGGACGACGTTGACCCAAATGCGCGGGATACCCATGGACGAGGCTCGCTTTTGTGGATTTTCGGGAAGAATGGTATTTAGGATAGTGAGAAAAAGAAGAACGGAAAGCCGTGTTGCTGCAGCTGCTAAGAATTCCAGACGTTGATCATAATGTCGAGGAGCATGATGGCTTTACAGCTTTGCTTCTAGCCATTACGTCTCACCAAGGTCGTGAGTATGTCGAGATTCTCCTCTCACGGTCAGATCTTGACGTGAATCGACCACAAGTTGGGGGCCTTGGCAGCCCATTGGACACTGCCAAACAAATAGGGAATATGGAAACTATAGCGCTTTCGCATACGAGAGGCGCCAGTGAGTCGGTCAAATCTACGAGACCTCATTCTCTTGAGGCGAACCTTGTCGTTGAGGAAGGCATCTGGCCTGACGCACACTCTATATTTGAGGAGGTTCGACTACAGCGGCGAGAACGACAGCGTACATGCCCGTCATCATCTCAAGAAAGTGAGATTTCTAGCGATGAGTCCGACTTTTACTACCAACCTAGCATCACAGGAAGTCTACTTGATACACTACAGAAAACTCTCCTCAAGGAGTGCCACTTATATCTGGAGGAGCAGCAGGAATATATCGACGAGTGGGTAGATAGCACAACCGGCATGTGCTCGTCATGTTTCGCTATCGACCTCGGTTCTGCCTGCCTCTCTGGCGGATTTTGTGAATGAGTTTTGACATATTTATCTGGGCCTCCATGTCTGTGTCATCACTGATGCAAGAGTCATGGACAGGTATAGTATTGGGGAATTCAAAGAGTCACACGTACACTGACCTTCACGACATGACAGTAGTTATCATTCAGGGACAGAGGGATGAGGAGGGACAGGGAAGAGTTAAGGCCCATACGTACGGCGAACGTGTTGGACCACTAAGGCTTAAAAATTGTACACTTGAAAGTATTAGCAGACATGGAGGCCCAGATAATCGAGGATCGGTGTGGCTTTATTAACCTTAATTGATAAGTTAAAGCTCATGGCATCTAACCGAGACCTACCAAGCAATGACACTTTAAAATCCCAGTTACCTTCAGCTTTTGGAAGGCAATAAGCGCATAGTCTCGATAAAAAATAAATCCCAATTCGTAATTCTCTCTGCCTAATTGACCCAGATCGAAACTTACTTCGAGCATCATTGTCTGCGACTTGACTACTCTGACCACCACAAGTTCTGCTTCCGTGACATTTGCAGTACAAAAAAGAGTCAAGTACTGATATGTCAAAACTCATTCACAAAATCCGCCAGAGAGGCCAACGCCACGGGGATCGCCAAGGGGTCCATTGCTGCCAGAGCTCCCGAAGCGACCAGCTGTGCCAGCTTTCCCCCAAAGTTCCCCTGTGTGGCGTTATTCCTTGCCTCCGTCCTCAAAGCCTCATTTTCATCCCTGATCTCTCTGATTTGCTCGTCACTACGGTCCTGAATCTCCTGGACCTGCCCGCGGAATTGGGCCAGCATGGCTGTGCTCTGCAAGCGTGCCTCACGCATTTGCTCTCTCATCTCTGCCTTGTCCTCGTCACGAAGTCGATCTGCTTCAAGCTGCTGCCGCTGGAGCTTTCCATCGTATTCCCTCTGGAGGAGGCTGATCTTGCGCTTGTTGTCAGCCTCAATACGGCGGATCTCTTCGCGCCGTTCTTGGCGTAGCATCTCCTGGTCTGAGTGGATTCGTTCAAGCTTCTGCTCCATCTTCTGACGTTCGGCCTTGAGGATTTGTTCATATTGAACATCCTTCTCTGCCAGAGCTGCGGCAGTTTCCTGCTGAATCTCGTCGAGCTTCTCACGGTACTTGTTCTCGAGGCGATGCAATTCCTCGTTGACAGCATTGCCTGCAGCAGTCTCACCTAAGGGCTTTTCTTCGTCTACCAGCTCGCGCTGTATATCGAGAGTCATCTTGGCCTTTGTTGCAAGAGACATGAGAGTGTCGACAGCAGATTGCTGAGTACCATCAAAGCGCGATACCTGGGCGCCATGTTCAATCATAGTACCCCAGAAGTCAGGGTTTGTCTTCAGTTCAGCCTCATGCGCTATGGCTCTCTGGCTGTCAATTTGTCCCCAGAAGGTAGACAAAATGATAACATTCTTCATTGGATCTTCTCCACACAGCTTACGGAACATCTTGAGATTTCGCATAGCGCTCCCGTCCATACGAACATCTGTGATGCGGTGCAGATAGAGGATGCCAGTTAGTTTAGCATTCTGACGGTAAGTTACCTCAAGCCATTTTGCTAGATCAAGAAGAATCTCCGTATCTGACTTGTAAGTGTCGTTGAAACCAGGCGTGTCAACCAAGATAATATTTTGGCCGTTGGTATTAAACTCGAACGCGGTGATTTCTTGAGTGCCTATGCAATAGAGTTGTAAATCTAGATGATATGAACATTTAGGGGCGATGCTTACAAGCCTCCAGTGAGTGTCCGACGATAACGTTATTATTACCACTTGCCGTGCGAACAAAAGTGCTTTTGCCAGAACCAGTCACACCCATAACCCCAATCACCATTGTTGGCTGCCCTTTGATCATCATGGCGTTGTAGCTTATCGATTTGTAGAAAGCCAAGACGGCAGGGGTTGTTCGTCCAAGGTGATTTCCTTGAACGTGGGCAAGCCCCTCCCCATCTTCTACTGCGTGATCATGTCAGCCTCAAAAGAGGCGATAATGCGGCCGAGGCGAACCTGCCAGTCGTGGCTCTATGCATAAAAGCCTTACGGCCTAAATGACGCATCGTGGCTGAACTATTTGCTGGGCTGATTTTTGATTAGCCAATGTCTTGAGAACAATGCAGCCTTATTGGCTTGAGACCATGGCGGGGCATTGAAAAGGATGGCCAACATGCAAATGCATCCGACAACAAACAGGTCAGATTCGTATTTATTCCATACTTATTGGTTAAACAGATTCGGTATAGCTAGTTATGCACTGCAATAATGTCCAAGCGATTGACATATCACATATCAGCCATGCAGACGGCCTCCCTCCTTTCTGTCATGAGACACTGGTGCGCCCGCAATCAACACCTTAGCTGGCATCCAGACACGTCTGATGCGGCCATAATCCTGACCCTCCTCAGTACCACAAACGACTATGGCTGGCTGAACAACCATGACAACAGGCGTGCCGTGGTGTTGCGCCCGCTTGAGCTGACCGAGTTGGTGAGCCTGATGAGGCTGCATGAGCTCTGAACCCGCCTCGAATACATCCTGCCCCAGCTGCTGTAAGATAGGAAGGTCGTAGCAGCGCATGTAAGACCGGTGAGTCCAAAGGCCTAGGGATTGTTGAAGGGCCTGGTTAATCTGCTCCTCGAGGCCACTCGAACAGTCTTGCCATTCCTCCTCCGATAGATTGCGGAGCAAGTAGTGCGCTGGACCAGCGAGGAACCTGCTGGTCAAGTGTCCTGCAAATCTGGTTCGCGCGTCAAGTAGAGCCTGTTCCCCACCTCGAAGCGAGCTCTCTGCATCAGCAGCCATGCCATGAGCAGAGAAGAACCTCACCAGCGATACTCTAAACTTATGGCGAGAGTCTTTTGGAACTAAACATAATTGTTAGCACATATCTCGATGCATAGCGTGTTACCAAAGGCGTACTGTTTTGTAGTTGCTGGAAAAGACGGTCAATGTTCTGACGCATGGTGGGCACCTCTGTACGTATTGAGGCTAAGATCTTCTGGGCTGCCTCCGCATCGTTGACATGTTTGTCTAATAGGCGCCTGGTTTCACTTAGGTCCGGGTCATATTGGTTTAGTGCTTCAAAAATCCACCATGGTGACCCAAACGCATGCGAGCAGATGAAGTTGGTCATCATGCCCTGCAGAAGCAAGTATGGCAACTTTTGGTCGGCCGCCAACCCCACCGGGAGCCTGCCATCTTGTAAAGCCACAAACACACTAGGGTCGTTCCAGGCATCGCCTGGAAGCTTGGTGAGGTTCGAGGGGTCTTTATGTGCAAAGGACTTGGCCCAATCGTACCAGCTGTCGCTGTTCGTCTTGAACCAAGCCTCGACTTCGCTATCAGTTGAGGCAAAAGTCTTGCACTGCTCCATCATGGCCTGTGCGGCCACTTGAGCACGTCGTATGCTCTCTTCCTGCGCCTCCTTGTCGTTTTCAAGCCTCTTGATCTTGCCATCAAGATTGCTCTCCCATCTTCGGTATTGTCTTTCACGGTTGGTGAGCTCCTGCGCGTACTTCAAGTTGAGCTGCTCTATGTTCGACTCAAGATCGTGGATCCTGTTGAGTAAAGCTTCGTTTTCCGCACTCAAACCCTTGTTCTTGGCGATTAAGGTGTCATTTTGTGTGTTTGACGTCACCCATAGTCTTTTCCAGTGCCGCGACAAGTTGAGCCAGTGTGTCACAGTAGAGGCGGATACCCCGGCTCCCGGCCCCTTGGCTATTATCCCGGGAGGGTAGGACTCGCCCCAAAAGTCTTGTGGGCTTTTCCCTAGTCCTCTGGTGAGCGCAGTGCTTTTATTCTGACCATTGAATGCTGTTGCGTGTTGCGAACCGGGTTGAGTTGAGTAGGTGTTTCGAGGATGTACCGGTAAGGTATTCACCAGACGCTCATTGCTTGTTGCCACAGTAGATAAAGCTCCTGTGCTCATTGCGGAGCCCCCAGGATTTTCAATGGGGCTGTTACTATACGGACTGAAGCTGTAATTGAGATGAGCTTTGGCAGTGTCCATATCCTCCGATTCGCCTTTTTGATCTTGGGATGTGAGGGATATATCAAGGTCTTCCCTGGCATCCTCGCTGAGTCTGGGCTCCCCCGGACTTTGAGATTTCTCTCTTTCTGAAGCGTCACTTGATCCATGCTCCATTTGGTGATCAGCTACCCAACGGTCAATCTCCTGTCGTAATTACGTATCTTGACTGGTTGCATACCTCGTTGGCTGGGGCGTTCGCAGCAGTCGGCCTTCTTTTCATTGTCCTGATGGACCTGATGATTGCTTGAAAACATTTTGCATTCTATGTGTTCTGCAAACAAAAGAGATCGCAGGTTGGACTATGAAGATAATGGCTGGCCTTATAAGCCCAGCTCCCGCTAGCAGCCATTTCCTTCCGTCTCCAAAATGGTAACTTGCCAGAGAAAGGTCTCAAAAGGTGCATTTTTAGTCTCTGGGTCAGTCATGCATGGGGTGTCACACCGGACCTCAGCTGCGTCAATAGCCCCCAAGGCATACTTGGATTCTGCTGCCTTGCCATGCATGAGACTAGGACTCTAGGACTCCGAAAGGCCCACTGGGAACCTGGGCATGGTAGCTTTCTCCTTTTGCTTAATAAAACATCACCCGAGCAAGGTCTATTAAAGCACCCATATCATCTGCTAGCTCTTCACCAAGATCACCTGTATCAGTACTTTTGAGTTAGGGATAAACCACTTAGCCATACACTCCACGTTCTTTCGCGTCCAGACCCCGCCCTCCAATATGACGTCTGAATCCGACGAGAGAAAGCTTATCGTTGGGGTAGACTACGGAACCACGTATTCTGGTATGCCATGGCTGGTGCCCTCGCTTTTCACTACCTTCTGACATCAATAGGTGTATCATTTGTCTGGTCCACCGCTGTGGGCATAGAGAGTATTGAGCTTGTGGACCAGTGGGGTAGTGGAGAAAGAAGCGGTGGAAGAGTAGGTTATGAAAGGCTCGTGCCGTCCAAGATTTCGTATTCCCCTGAGCTCTCTTGGGGCTACGATATTGACCCTGGTGCAACGACATACTGTTGGACCAAACTTTTACTTGACAGGTTCACTAAGCCTTCCGACTTTGACGACTCGTCCCTCACTGAGGTTGACGGGCCGGGCCTGCTCCTTACTCCTCGAAACAAGACACCTGAGGATGTGGTAACAGACTTTCTGGCACAGCTATACTCCCATGTTATGTCACTTCTGGTCGACAAGTTTGGCACATTAGTCGAACTAAGCCCGATCGAATTCTGGTTCACTGTACCGGCCCTTTGGAGTCTCAGAGCAGAAGATGCAACAAAAAACGCTGCGCTGAAGGCTGGGTTTGGATCACGAGAAAAGGACTCTGTCCATATGGTACGGGAGCCGGAAGCTGCAGCGATCGCTTGTTTGAGTGAGTTGATCAAGGATGGTGAAAGTAAGCTCGTCCAGGTACAGTTCGTCTTCTAAGCAGCTGTTACAGGCCAATCCTGGCTAACTCTGACGTGACTACCCAGGTGGGAGACGGTGTTCTGGTATGCGACTGCGGCGGAGGAACAGTGGTAAGTACCCAATTTCGCAATGAAACTATATTGCAAGAAGGAAGGCTAAGATCCCTTGCCAGGATCTCGCCTCATACAAAGTTCAAGTGGCCTATCCAAAACCGAGTTTGGATCAAGCCTGCGTCAGTGAAGGTGAAGTTATTATCCCGTTGCCTTGCTATAAGCTAGTATTCATATTAAGATCAATCGCGATAGGTGGCAAGTGTGGATCGACGACTATAGATCGTGCTTTACACAAGTTGATGGAAGAACGGTTTGGCTCCGCATTCTCGTCTCTGCCCTATGAAAAGAAAGGCGGAGGCACCAAGTTCATGAACCAGTTCGAGTCAGCTAAACGTGATTTTGGCGTGTCAAAGCGTTCCAGGAAGTATCGGCTCGACCTCAGATTGAAGGTCCCTGATTCTCAATGGTACGATGGAGATGATAACGAAGTCATCATCACGACGTGAGTTCGCATATTTCTTCAAGTCTGTACAAGAAGAAACTGATACACTCTCAGAGAAGACATGAGGAGTCTCTTTGACCCTGTTGTCAAACAAATTATCGTCCTACTGGAACAGCAGATCCAAGCGACACTTACCGAAAGCCAACTTGAGGTAAAGGTACTATCTCCTTAACTCTAACATAGAAACCAGTGTTGCTTACCTGATACTGCTTAGACGATATGTCTTGTTGGTGGATTTGGTGAATCGGTGTACCTCCTTAACAAGCTCAAAGAGTGGTGCCCGCCAGGTATTGAACTTCTAAACCCAACAAGGTCGTAAGTCAGCCACTTCCATCCGGAGATGCCTTTTCATAACAGAGGTCTCTATTAGATGGGAAGCTGTATGTCTTGGCGCAGCCCTTCGCGGTCTTGACGGCCCAATTGTGATAAAGAAGAAATGTAGGAGGCATCTTGGGACCAAAGTGGCAAAACCATTTAGAGAAGGTATCGATGACGAAGATGATTCTTACCTAGACCCTTTCGACGGGTCAAAGCGCATCGGGGGATTCATGGACTGGATGGTAAATAGGGTAAGTCTTCAAGTACCCTGGGCCTCTAATATTCCATCTCTTACAACATCATCAGGGCGAGGTAATAACACCAGACAGCGTAGTCATTCGACCATACTCCCTGAACTTTCTGGAGGGCAGAGAAAAGAAATGGGTCGAAACATTATATCAATGCTCGCTAGCTGTGGCTCCAGAAAAGCAGTCGCATCACTGTAAGTCACTCCATACTCCTTATTAGTACTCTTCTCACCAGTTGTTATGAAAAGCCGTTGAGGAGTTAGGCGAGCTTCATGTTGACTTGAGTAACGTGGATCTGAGCGACTTTGAGACAAAGGAGATCACCACACCGCTGCAGTGGAAAAAGCTGAAGATCCACAGAGTTATTATCTTGATTGTCATGGTGGTCGAGGACGACTTGGGATACATGCACTTTCGCGTCGTGTGCGGGAGAGAGATTGTGGGAGAGGCGAAATTGAAGTTTGGTAAGGAGAAAGAAGAAAGTAAGTTGAGTCTGGAGAATTTAACTATTAGTTAGTTTACTATTAAAGTATAGTTAATTAATATAATTAAACTTTTTATTATTTTGCTATTTAATTATTTTACTATTTTATTATTTTACTATTATATAATTTTATTATTAAAAATCATTTGAAATCATTTTACCTGTAAGTAATCACCTTATTGTTGATCTTAATTTCTTTATTACAATTTTAATTCAGGATAACGCTGGCGTGTTTTGTCAACCGTCAGTGAATGCAGCCTGCCGAACAGGTCTCAGACCCGCGGAAACTATCGAGCAACGATCGTGACGCTGCGTCGAACCGCGAGTTGCTCTCCCTGCAACTTTTCCAATCTTTAAGCCATAGCGATTGCTTAGCGTTGATTGGCCGCTGATAACTCTTCAGGCTGGTGCCAATTTCTCCCCTAGAGGAAATTCGCGCTCGCGTTGCGGCCGTGACACCGTAATACGCTTGCGATGGCTCTAAGGCTGTTTGTCTGCGAGCGCTCCATCGCCTTCCCAACGCCGTCAAGACCCCCTGTGGGCCTATCAATGGGGACCTAGGTGACCGACCTCAAGAGCTTCAGGAAGCTGTTAGGTATTACTAAGATGAACGAAGCTCGCGATAGTGGGCGTAATGCTCCTGTCTGCCCTCCTACCTTTGTCGGAATGGTACCCGTCAGTCGAGGGTCTTCCCAGGCCACACCGCGTAAGCCAAAGGCCGCCTGACCTTCGCCGATTGTTCTTCGCTGACCCCTCCTCTATTCAGCTCGTTACTAGAAGGCGTCTTACTCGTCCTTCCTCTAGTCTTTCTTGCAGCATCCGTAAGCGTGAAGGGCGCGGTGAGAGTAGTCGAAGCCGTGGTGGTCGTTAGCAGTCTCTCTGTGGGTTTTACTGGATTATTATTTGCGCTTGTTGGGCACTTCTTTCATCTCCACAATCCTCTCCATTCATTCGTTAAGCTAAGTGAAAGGGTCATGGTTTTGTTCTTACATCTCAGCTATGATCTGTCTTGGTAGGACGATCGATGCTCTCGTGTGATGTGCCACCAGTGACAATCCACACTTATCGCCCTTCTCCCAAGCTTTACATCTCTGTTTCCGATTCACCACCGTGTCCCTCTTCGCCATAGCTATTATATGGCACAGGCTCATCAACACTCCTCCTCCAGAGGATCCACTTCTGGATAAAGTAAGGGAGCTGTTCATGCCATACCCACATCATCAGTTGGATCTTTGGGCGCTCATAGACCTTTTCAAGGTCCACCAAACTCCAACTACTCGTTTCTTCAATGGAGAAGAGGGCCAGGATGAACTCAATCACGTTGAGAATAGATAATACGCCCAGTGTCCCTCTTGCGTGGAAAGCATCACAGATCTCTGGCAGCAGAATTGACAAAAGACCTGCGAAGAAGAGATTCATGCTGATAGCTACTGAGGCACTCTGCATCGTGTTAGATAGGTTGATAGTGGATCTGGGTTGAACTTACCGCTTCACGATGAAATGACGGGAGACTTGGTCAAGTTAGTGTTGCTATATACTTTGTTGTCCCGGGTAGGAGTAATTGCCTCTCAGAAGCCAAAGTAAATGGGATTGGGCCTAGACTGGTCAGATCTGTCTCTGGTTCACTGGCACTGCTCACTCACCCAAGCCAGGGGCAAACTGAAAGGATTTGATGTGCTTATTGAAGGAGATCAACTGGTGGTCAAACATCGACTCAACTCCAGGGGTAACAGTGCTTTACACGAAGCGACCCTGAATAGAGACATCGATGTGAAGATACTCCCAAAGTTGATGAAGAACGATCTCCTAATTGTCAAGAACGCGAGTGGGGATACAGCACTGCTGTTAGCTGTCGACAGGACTAACACAGCAGCCTTGTTAAGTCTTCTAACTGTACCACCTCTATTGCATATCCGGGATCGACAAGGGATGACACCGCTTCGCAGGTGTCATGATCACAGGGCTTCGGATCTCCTTCTAGATGCTCTGAACGGATCCAGACATCGCTCAAGCCTCACACACGTTGATCCAAACAGTCACGACGCTTCATCTCTTATTGACATCGACTCACAAGATGCATATGGTAAGACAGCTTTGTTCATAGCTTGTGCGCAGAGAAACCTGAAAATCATGAGAAAGTTGCTCGATGCAGGAGCACGTGTGAACATAACAGACAATACGGGAGTATTCCCTATCCTAGCCTGCTCGTCATCCACTGGAATCTCATTGGCGAGTCGAGAAGGAATGATCCTACGCTTACGTGTCAAGGGTGCAGATCCGGACCAGCAGGACATTGATGGAAACACGGCTAGGAAGGAACTTGGAAGGTTTTACTCGTCGAGCAAGGCGGTGATTAAGTTCCTATCTCTTGATCCTGCAGGGGAGTTGGAGAGGTTGGAGAAGAAGGCTAGAGCGGAGAGGAGAGGGAGTAACGCAACCGCGAGCACGACGAGAAGCATTTTTTCTTTGGGACGGGTGTTTAGTTGGGAGACACGGAGCTCATCATCGTGAAGTTGACCTTTTACCTCAGATGTTGTATTAAATCTCCACTTGTTTTGGACATCTGCATATAGAATAGTATCCTCGCCACTCAGGAGCTGTCTGGGCCATCGCCTAACGTGAGCTTTCTCATATGTGAACCATGATGGAATCAATAAAGCAGTTATTTTGGCCGTGTTGACAGTATCGGGTGTTTCTCTAGCTCTTCCGCGCTACTCCCACCGTCTTGTCAAGGAAGGTAAAAAGCTCCCTCCAATTCACTATCGAGTTTTCCTTCTCACCCTCGTTGTCTCTCCTCAGCTTCGCCTCTACGCAACAAAAATATCCCTCTTTTCTTATACGATACCTAAATCTTCCCTGATCGCCAGCGCTTCGCCTCGCCATGTCCATCTCCTCTGCGGCAATCGCAGCTCTTGAGGAGTATGAATTTGACCCCGAATAAGGCTTAGCTCATCTTAGTCCCAGCAATGCCTTGGATGCGCGCTCGCCATCCACTGAAGAAACCGTCTCGTTTGCGTCATCGACAAGACAGAGACTTGCTGCACTTAGTGCAGCCATAACCACAAGAAGTGCACTGCTGTGAGTATCCCTGTCTTCGCACCTTCTCTGAGCGGTTGCCTGATATTTCCTAGATCCCACCGGAACTGAAGGGTGTAGTCCACTACTACTGGAATCAGGTTGACCACGAAGCCACCGCCGATCGGAAGCTCTCCTCTCTCCAACGCTGGCGTGTCGTGACTCGTACAATGCCTCAACGAACTCAGTTCCGCGCTCCGCTCCCTCGTCGACGTCTTGAATCCTTGCCGAGCCTCCTCGAGAAACCACATAGGTGTTGCTCCTGTGCTCCAAGTCCAAGAACTTGCCTCTATCGGGAATACCTTTCCCTTATCTACCGAGTCCAGATTAGTTCGCCTATCAGTCTCCAATGCTTCGTCGCTAACCAATTCCCCATCAAGGCAGGTAGTGAGCGGCACGGCTATGAGATCAAGGACAATATCAGTCGCCCTGCCCCGGGGTACGCCCGGGAGTACAGTGAAGTTGGCGTTTCACTACAACGCTCTACGGCTGCCCCTTGCCTTTCGTAATCCTCTCGACAACGAAAACCCTCGCAATGAAGCGGATTGGCCGGGGTGATTCCCCGTCGACTTCCTCGCTGTGATGCAGGGATGCGTCGACGCCAGTAATCCGACCCCTCGCATCGCCGTTCGCTTTGCTGGGCAAGGTGTTTCTCGCCGTGGGCCTGCCCAAGCCACTCCACAGCGCTGTCGCGAAAGGATGGAAGAGGAACATAGTAGTGAGCAGGGCGACATATAGCCCCTCTCAGATTGGTCTCAGAAAACTTGATGATGAGTTTTAGGATCCTAACCTAAGTTTAGGCCTAAGGCTTATCCTAAGGACCCTAAGACTTAGGATGAGATCATCAAAAAGAGTCGTAAACATTATGATGATCATAAGCCTTGACACTTTCCAGAATCTGAGCAGTTTGAATCACGCGACATATTCTCACGGTTGTAGGCGATGAATCATTGTATCGCGTAGACTTTCTATTCTTCTATCAATCTACACAAACAATGACAGCCCTTAAGCCACAATCTCAACCCGTCTCTTGTTCCACTGGTGCGTCAGTGCTCTAGCCTTGGGCTGTCTCTTAACCTCATCGTACAACCTGGCAGTAAGATACTTGTAGATCCAAGGCGAAGCGCCATTGTACACAATGCTGTGATCACTATCCGTGAACGCAAACATCTTCATCTTCGCAGGCGAAACACCAGCTCCGACAAGAAGATCAATCATGGCAGCGGCATGTTGGTAGTGAACGTTGTCATCACCAGTACCATGGAGGATACTGAAACTGCCGGCGATGTTCTTGAAACCATCGACTTTGTGGACTGCCGTCTCGAGATATCCATCCTTGTTCTCATCGAGGGTCTTCATGTACCGCTCCGTGTACATGGAATCATAGAAGCGCCAGTCCGATACAGGAGCGGTGATGAGACCGAAGCTAAACACTCCAGAGTCTGCCTCGACCGTCTTGGCTGTGAGATATCCACCATACGACCATCCCCACATTCCAATCTTATCAGCGTTGATGAAACTATATCTCTTGATGAGCTCTTCGGCAGCCCAGATCTGATCAAGCGGCTCAAGCTTCCCGAGCTGAGATGTAACGAGCGAGCGGTACTTGCGGCCTTGCATGGCGGTCCCGCGGTTATCGACGGTGTAAACGATGTACTGTAGTTCAGGATCAGACGAAATGTAGGATTTCCAACCTAGGGATTGGAAAGACTTGGCGACACGCTGGGAGTTGGGGCCGCCGTAGGGCGTGAAGAGAACGGGGTACTTCTTAGCGGGATCGAAGTTGACAGGGAGCTGTTGCATGACGTTCAGGGAGTAACCATCAGGGTGCTTGAGCTCAAAGTATGTGATGTTGGGCAAGCTGTATTGCGTGATGTTCTTGTAGAACGCCTTGTTGTCAACGAGGGTACGAACAGGCTTGCTGGTGGTGTTGGTGGTGTAAAGTTCCTGGTACGGAACGTCAGGGCCCTGGTAGTGAAGAATGTAGTAACCACCGCTGGAAGAGAACGACGCAGACCAGTAACCAGGAGTCTTGTCATCAACGAGAGGAGTGATCTTCTTAGTCTCCCACGAGACCTTGTAGACATGTCGCTCAGTAGAGTGTCGCTTCGAAGCTTGGAAGTAAACAAGCTTCTTAGCAGTGTCGATGTTGAGAATGGTCGAAACTTCCCACTTTCCAGACGTAAGCTGAGTAGCCTTTCCGCCGTTGACGGGGTACAAGTAAATATGGTTCCAACCATCCTCGTCTGAAACATCAACGTAGTAAGCATCCTTCTTCTTGGAACTCAAAGGTCCGACGAAGGAGATGGAGAGAGTATGCTCAAGCCATCCGTCGCTTCCGTCTCGCTCGCGAACGGTCTTTGACTTGAGCGTCTCAGGGTTGACGACAACGTGAGCATCATGGTCTTGAACGCGGTTGAAAGCGCGGTAGATAAGGGCGCTGTGATCCTTGGTGACCCAAGCGACTTCACCGATGATGAGCTCCTCAGGCTCAAAAGCATCAACAGGGATAGGCTTGTACTCCAGATCCGAGAGATCAAGAATATTGAGCTCGACAGTGGGGTTTTTGGATCCAACCTTGGGGTATCGAAGGTCCAGTTCACGAGGGTATGTCGGCGCAAGCTTCTGGTTATCCATGTAGTAGGGGATTGTGAAGGTACCGACACCAGTCTCATTGAAGCTCAGGAACGCAAGGAACTTTGCATCAGGCGACCACCAAAGCGCCGAGCGTCCGCCGTAAATCTCCTCCTCATACACCCAATCAGGCACACCGTGAAACATATCCGGTCCACCATCAGTCGTAATCTGGTCAACCTTGCCCTCGCCATCACGGATGTAAAGATTGTTGCCCCGCACGAACGCAATGGCTTCTCCACTCGGCGCAAACTGTGCGTACTGAATATCGCCAACCTGGTCTTTCACAAGAGGTTCGCTCTCGCCAGACTCAACATCAAGGATGAAGTAATCTGCGAAATACGAGTAGCGGTATTGCTTGGTGTAGTTTGACGCGACGAGGACGCGCTTGGCGTCGCTGCTGATCCAGTACTCGTGAAGATCCTTGGGGAGTTTATCGGCTGTGGCGAACTTTGTTGTCTTTTCGCTGACGATGTCTTCAAGAACGAGATCGCCGTCGTCGCTGAGAACAATATAGTTTCCGTCTTGACCAGCGGATGACCACTCTACGCTCATGGTAGTAGGTCTCAATTTAGCGCTCGGACTCGTCTCATTAAAAGTGAGTAGGCGATCACCCTCACCAACAGGTTGATGAGGCTGTCTGGGAGGATCAATCGCCAGACCCAACGGGGCAAGCGCCAAAAGAGCGGCCAGTAATTTCGCGACCATGATGAACGATTGAACTGAGGCTGCAGAAGAGAAACCTTGAGGAGAAAGAAAAAAGAACAAGAAAAAGGTTGCTCGGTGTTACGCTGTTCTTATAGTGGATTAACTTCCGGGACGAGATTAAGCTTATACCGGGGATCGACAGGGCTAGTGAGATAGGCGCCTTCCCGCAGCGGTTTAGATGTGGAATGCTACAGGGGTGTTAGACCTGCCGCTTTGGACCATTTTTACAAAGTTCCCCGTGTTATGTTGCGTTGGCCAAGACTTGGTTTCTTGGGAGAGCGACAAAAGTTCGTGAGGAGATAAGGAAGGAAGGTTATTGTTGTTTTTGGTGATACGGTGACGATCCTTGAATTAAATTTGGTTTGGGATTGGGATGAGCCAATTACAAGGGTGAGTTCAGGGTAGACATCTTGATTGTTTGAATGGACTACCGCTCACTTAGATTGTTACTGGATCATTAAATTTATTGGAGATCATTCGACGGTCTAAGAGATGGACAACACTCTTTACTGACCTATCCAGTTGTGATTCACTGCTACAGTATCTTAATCGTCTATGACAACATTCACCCATGGATGTACCAGTTCCAAGCCCCGCTTGTTGACCTCCCTAATACAATATCCCAATGTGTCCTTGCCTATCCATTCCAAGCCCGTCTCAATGTTTTCCAACAAGAGCGACCATTTTTGTTGTCTAATCTGAGCATCGCGTTCTAATAAGCTCTCTTTTATACAGTTTGCAATATCTAGATGATACTCTGTTGCAGGTGAAAAAAACTCTTTGTCACCATTTAGAGAATCTGCATCATGTCTGACGGAAAGTATCTCAAACCGTTCTTTGGCGTCTTGTGGAGGTTGGACGTGTAGAGCACAACCTACCCGATCTGGTAAAAGTTGACCAAGTAAGTGGTAGGCAGTAACGAAATTGCCAATAGCCAGGGTATATTGCCAAAGTCCAAAGAACTCCCCTTCGCTGTTTATTGAAATAAAGTCGATCTTATGATCCACCCCAAATTCCAAAATCAACGGGCACAGCCAATCCATTGGAGATAGAGTACGGCCAAAGCGGTGTAGTAGATCTGTGATTTTATGTCCATCCTCAGTCCATTCGTCATGTAAAAGACAAAGACACTGCATGACGAACCACGAATGCAGCAGACGCACTGCATTTCTCACGTCATGTTGAACTTGTAAGGGATAACCTTGCCACCCTTTGTCAGTCGCGCTTTGTAAGCGGGTTAAAAGGTAGTCAATAAAATTCAAGCAATACCCGAGGGTATCCTCCAACGCGCAGAGCAGAACAGGAACAGCGACTGCCAGACGATCAATAGACAATTGGTCTAACAGTTCAATAACGATGATGTTCGGGCTGGCCACCATTGCAACATATTCAAGAAACTCCAACTCTCCCAGGAGGGGATGAGCTTTGAACAAGATTGGATAACGCCAATATGAGTGATTGTAAAATAAGCCACGTTGCTGCCAATCCCTCATTTCCTCAAGAATGATATTTCGGCGGGATATATTGTCCTTGAATGAGTTTAGGGTAATACGTAAGGCTGGGACTAGCTGGTGGTAGTCAACGTCGGATCTTAAATATGTCCTTCCGTTCGTTACCTTCAAATAGTGTCGTTTTGACGTGTAGCATAGAAATCGGGATTTGACTAGGTGGCCGACAAGCAACCTTTCAACTTTGTCAATTGATGACCAATGACAAAGTGAAAGACACTGACGTCCAAAGTGTGTGTCGGTAATGAAGTCGAATGCACATCTGTGTATGAATTCGACCTTTGTCATGGCATAGTCATAAAGGGCTCTATTTCCAACCCATGAATGATGGACATCATCTAGTGTCGTTACTTCAAGGAGACCTCGGCAAACCAAACGCAATCGATCTTTTACCCTCGCACATCTTGCTTGAAGTTCTTCTGCAAGGATTTCTCGGCCTTCTCTTAATATTGACGTGAATGACTTATCCTCCAGGGCTGTAGTCATGACGAGTAATGATCGCGTTGAATGGAGAGGTAGTCTCGGAGAAAGACCGCCATAGCAACAGTACTCGTCTATTTTGATTGCCGAAAGGGCTAGACTGAAGAAGCGAGAAGACTCGATGCTGTAAGTTGGCAACTTGGTATCATCTCCTGGGCGATTCCACATATCGACCAAGAGGTCTTGCAAATCTGATGGTGTCTGTGCGAGTCGTTCCTCAAATTCGTTGGCACCGCCTGAACGTATTGCCTGATTGAGGCTCTTGACGGCCAAGACCACCCAGAGAAACACACCGTTTGCTTTCTCTACGACTGTTAATAGAAGTCGAGATCGATCATAAGAACTTAGCCCAGATACTTCTAGCATACTCTCCGCATAATGATAAATATCATACTCATTGAGCTGATGGGTTCTGAGGTGGGGTTGGCCTGCGAAGAACTGGCAGAAAGGACTTTCTTCCCTACTGGATGCACATAGCTTAATATTGTCGAGTTTGAGCAAGTCGTAGATGACTTGGGTATTTTGATGGTCACCCCACGGGAGGTCCTCGAATTCTTTAGCCTCGTCCAGTCCATCGAGAAAAATGCAATAAGTATTGCCAGAAGACTCGATTGCCCAGCAGAGAGCCTTCCTTAGCCCCTTCATATCCCAGTCTCCACCATCTCGCTTATCTTGAACATTTGGCTGCTCAGTCCATAGCCGCTGGGCGAGAACACGGTTCTTGTAAAGCACTTGATGGAGCAGAGAGCGTGCCATCCCTTCTATGTTCTTTTGTAGTGGCTGCCCTGGCTTCCAGAAATAGTGAGCGAGGATTTGAAACTTGCTATCCTGGGCTTGCAGATACTGTAGTGTGAGGGGACTTGTCGCAAGGAATTTCATGAGCGAGCTTTTTCCAGAAGCCGGCTTGCCGCTGATCCAAAATTGGTGGGCATCAGACTCTAACCACGCAGGAAATGAATCGGGATCCGATGTCGTGCTGGCCGACCTTAACAAGTTGCCGCGATTGCGGTCAACGGGGTTTTTGAAGACCCAATTGAAGGTGCCAGGGTAGTTTTCAGATATGTGATTCCTGCGGCTGTTCATCTCAGAGAATCGGAGGCTTTGGAGTAATTGGTCGTGCTCTTGCTCGAAGGTTTTGCTCTGGTCGCGTCGAGCCATATCCTCGAATTCTCGGGACACCGAGTCGCGGAAACTCGAAAGGGCGCCATTTGTCGTAGTGAACCCTGTGTTGATAGCTGCACGTGTTGTTTCATGCTCCTGGGTAATTCGGTTCCTCGTCTCCAGTGACTCGATTGAAAGCTCGGACATCCATGTGCGGCCATCTGCCAGTTGTTTAATGACTGACTGTAGGTTGGTATTAAGTTCGCTGAAGGACTGTTGTGAACTGATTTCTGCGGCCTGAGACTGGTTGCATATACGGTGTAGTACGACACCATGAAGAAGGCTCTCGTATCTTTTGAGGTTTACCTCAAGAGTTTCAAGCTCCTTTCCTTGCCAAAGAGATGCCAGACTCTTTTTACCCATCTCCATCTTCCCGCGGAATCCACGTCTAGATGCATCATCGATATGAAGCTCTGAAAATTTGGATTGGAGCTGGGTCATGGATTCCTCCAGCTTTTTGCCAATGTCAATTATCTGCTGTTGGTCTCGGGTCGACGGCAGAACCTGAGAGGTCGCCAAAGCAGAGCTGTTAATATCATCGAAGCAAGCTTTCGCGCTTCCAAGATAGGCCTCCAATCTTGGGTCAGGATTGCTTTTATCCCGAACCTGGCGGTAAACTTGGAGGATATCTCTACCGAAAGTGACGATCTGCATCGCATTGCAAAGAAATCCTATGCCAGCGATCGCCGCCTCGGCTCCGGACATTTTTTGTGTGTTATTGGATTGTAGAATATTTGAAGAATCTTATTTGATTTAGAGGCGTTTTTGAGAGTGGAAGAATGAAAAAGAAAAACGAGAATGGTGAGCTGGCCGAGTGCGGGGTGACGTGTCAAGGCGAACCAGATTGCGGCTGAGCAAGGCAGACACTTTGTTATTGTACTGGAATTGTTGTTTTTTATGCACCATTGATACCATTGGCATGTTCTATTTTCTCCCATCTACATAAGGCTCCTATCACATTGGATGAAGTTAAAACATATTGGACATGAGGCAAGATTGTCTTGACATTGGAAAATTATATGTACTTGTTCTTATAAGTATATAACCGTGAGGGTAACTTGAAGGAAGTTAGCCCAGCCTAGATGCTCTTGAAGACAGAAAGACTTGACCGAGCCTTTCCAGGCCACGAAAACAAAGTGTTGGAGGGGCACGAAGAACCAAGAGCCTGGTTGTTCATCCAAGCAGGCTCCCAGTAGTACAGCCCAGCTCCTCCCTTGACCTTGCTAACAATGCTAGCAACCTTCTTAATAAACTGCGTCTGACCATCAGCAGAGAAAGGAATGTTCTTCATATCGCTAGGGAAAGGCTGAGCGGGCGAAGGGCAAGACGTAGGCCAGTCAAGCTCGCTAACAAAGATCTGCTTTCCCCATTTGTTGGCCATGTTGGTAAGAGACGTCTCGAGCGCAGAGAACGTAGCGCCTGATCCGTAGAAAGGATAGTATGAAACACCCATGGCGTCGAAGGCGCCGAGGGTAAGACCCTTTTGGTTGAGGACTTGGGTGTAGAAGTACTCTTGGGTACCCCAGTCCCAGCCCTTGTCAAGATGAATCATGATCTTGGGCTTGGGGCTGATGGAAGAGTCCTTGATACCGTAGGCTGCAGAGTTGAGAAGACGGCCGATGTTGTAGTAAGACTTCGTCGAGCCGGTTGGGAAGAGAAGCCCGGCGGTGATCTCATTTCCAATAGACATAATCGCAGGAGGAACACCAGCAGATTGGAAAGCGTTGGAGACCTGCTGAGTGTAGTTGTACAGTCTCCAGGCCAGGTTATCGATATCGGTAGGCCATCCGGAGGGAATAGCCTGATGACCAGGATCAGCCCAAGTGTCACTGAAGTGAAGAGTCAGGTAGACGCTCAGGCCCGCAGCTTTGGCACGCTTGGCGAGCTTGAGATTGTAGTCGAGGTTGTAGTCGCCGTTAGATGGGTTCACCCAGACTCGCTGGCGGACTGAGTTGACGCCATTTGCGGCGAGGATCTTTTCGAGAGGTTGAGCGGAACCGCCGGCAGTGTATTGAATGCCCTTTTGTTCCTCGAGCAGAACAGAAGACCAGTCGACGCCCTTGTAGGTCAAGGCCAAAGCGACCGAGCAGTAGGACAGGAATGCGAGAAACCGAAATAGTACCATTTTGACGATCGTGAGGGAGCTCAAAATAGTCAACCTCAGTTCGCGGGACAGCGTTCTCTTAAGTAGCACCTTCGCCCAAGCATGACTTTCAGCTAAATACGCGGAGCTGTGTAGGATCCGTACAGGGATATTCGTTATTCCTCCAATCACAGCTCGGATGAAGGATGTTTCACCAATTATTCCGGCATGGGTCTAGCGCTCCTTAATGAACGATCAAACCTCGTGAGAGAGTGTTCGGAAGAAAAATACCGTAATCGGGTGTCTAGAAGCGGAGCTAGAAGTGCCGGCTCCGAGAATCGACATGCTCTAACGGGACTTGTGCATGTCTTTCATCCGCCCGAATAGGAACGCATGGAGAACATAGTCGCTATGATGCAGTGGGGTAGATGGAATAATGTCTATTTCTGACTACGTCTGTATACAATAGAGTAATGCTCTTCTGGTAGTAGTACTATTTCCGTTATTTATTCCACTATACTTCCAACAACAATTTTCCATCTCAAGTCTTTTTTAGCTTGGAAACTCTGGAAATCCCTGGCAAAACATCATATACTCCCATATTCATGATGAAACACCCAGTACACAATCCCAAACTCAGTCGACTTCACGACGCATAAGAGCCCGTTGCGATTCCTCGGTGGCACAGATCATGCCCCGCGGCAGTTCAATTACGCTTTTCGAAGCAGCAATCATACTTTCCCGCTGCCCAAGTTGAGCCCGTAGCTTTTCGTCGTAACAAGAATACGGCGTAGGGAAGATCTGCACGGATCGGGAGCCTACTCGATGAGAGCACCATGAAAGAACCGCTCCTCGACGATCCCAAAACAACCACCCATTTTTCGACCGCCAAGAGGCATCTTTCCAGAAACAGCTGTCAATGTCACCGAGCCTTTGAGGATTCCCGCTAGTCGCCAGCTCCATGAGCTGAAGATCGTGAACACCGGCAAGCCTGATCTTGAACTGGCTGTACAGTACATCGGAGTACTTCTCAACGTCGAAAAAAACCTTGATGATATCCTCGGACTCTAAAACACCCTTGAGAAAAGTCATGCGCCTATTGACCCGCCAGAATGTTATGGCACTGAGCCAGTATACATCTATTAGATAGACGCGATGGGGCATGGCGTTGTAGATCTGCATAATGGAGATTCTGCTTTCATGTCCGATATAATTCCCCTCAAGGGTGATGAAGAGGCGTGGTTTAAATTTTGGGATATCATGAAGATCGTCGAGGAGAGTGTATAAGGTTTCAGCATCCCCGATCCAGATGATGCGTGGTTCGGATTCATAGGTAGGTATGGCGTCGGGTTCCGTTTGGAAATTCATGGTCGGTATTGTCTGCTGTGAGATTAAAAGGGGGATATTATGTAAGTCTGAGGAGAAATGAAGGCGATGAGAAAAAGAGGGTTTAGCTTTGGATTGATAGAGTTATGGTTGTTTGGGGGTGAGGAAGGACTGGACTTATGGTGGTTTAAATAAAGTCAGAATTGGTGAGATTTGTTACATTCTTCCTCTTATATGTGCTCAAATGGAAGACTCTCGTAGGTTGAAGTTTGATGAATCTATGCTAGCTTTAGGCATCAAGGGTGATAAGAGGGTCATTCTCCTGTTGTCCAAAATGACTCCTTGATTCAACCAATAGTATCGCTCATATACTGAAAACGATTTACTCCTCTGTGGAATATCTAAACGAGTATGCACCAACGGTCGAGAAACTGAGTTTCGTGCAGCAGAGAGACCAGTCTCACGAGACCGAAAGGCACAAAACATACGGCCATTTACTGGCTCTCAGATGCTGTGGCCCACGATGCGATTGATCATAAGACTTGGAAAATGAATTATATGGGGAATATAAACTTAGGTAAAGCTTAATCTAAGCTTTCCTAAACTCATCAAAATTATCATAAATTACCTGGTCTAAGTTTATTATAAACTGCCCTAAGAATTAACAAACCTGATTATGATTTTATAAAATCTATATAAAGCTACCAATACTTAACCCAAAAGCCGCTTTGCCAAGAACTACCACCCAGTGAATTATATACTTTTGGTGCTCTGCTTGGTGGTCGAAAAGCATGCACATGATTATGCGCCCGAGGCAACTCCCCAGAATAGCATAAAATGCGTTTTGGTGTCGGGTATACGTAGAAATGGATTGAAACTGCTTGGCTTTGTCGTTCTTTTCTGTGTGCTCGGCGATCGATTGGTGGATGGCCTCCTAAACCACGAGCTTCGTCTCGACATTGACGATATGGTCAATCCAGACCCGTCGGAGAAGGTTCGGCGAAAGGGATTGGGCTTTCACCGCTGTTTCCCAGCTTTTCAACAGAATCTCAGACATCCTGGCCTCCAGAGATGTCGTCCAGACATACCAATAGTCGAACCTGCGTTCAAGTTCGCTCACTACAAATGCTCCGCTTTGGGGAGCTATCTTGACCAAGGCGCAGTGATTGTACATTGTTGGCTTGCTAGTTACCTCGCAGTAACTGAGATCATTTGTATCAACGTTTTCCCGTCAGAGATATGCCGCCGGTTCCTTATTCAAGGGGCGAGCTGTGCTGCGGTACTGCTTGTAGACTATCTCGTATTTATGATCTAGAGGTGGGTGCACTCCTCTGACCTTGGCGGTCGGCGACCAGTCTGCGACCCTTCTCCAATGCAGTTTGGTAGAGCTTATATCGGGCATGCGTTTGCTCCGGGGCACTTGTGTCTGGGTCGAGTTCTTTAAGGAGATCTGGTGACGGCGTCGGTGCGTCCATGGGGCTTGGCGATGGAGACGTTTCGAGCTACAACTTGGATAATTCTGATTCTGTTGCCGCTTGGCCGGCCCGAGGGCGTGCTTGCTTCGGGATTCTATCGACCGTGATCTTCCTTTCAGCGGTGCTTGACAGGCGGGTGAGTCCTTAGGGGCACGTTCGGTGATGAAGCCTGTCGGCCAGTTGTCGGCCGACTAGGGTCTGGCGTCATGATTCGGGGCGAGTCGCAACCGTTCGGATTGGAGCAGCTATTCTCAACTATGGCCAGCGGTGAGGTGACCGCAAAGAGATGCCCAATAGGTCGGATAGAAGCCACAGGAGACGGGACGGTGGGATTTGTTGGCTGAAATGAAGTGATAAGTTGAGGCAAGGCATCGTCGACGCCGGGGATGAGACAATCGAGGATGATTGGGAGAGGGAAAACTCGAATAGATTTGATAGCAAACCCCGCAGAAGTTGGCTGAACAGGTGAAGATGCCAGAGAATGCTGCGGTTGATGTTGTTGTTGAAACGGTGAGGAGTGGAGCAGGCAGAGCGACGCTACTTCTGCTGTGTATTTCCTGTTGGGAAGCAACATGACGTCAGTGAGGTGCTTGCAAAGCTTGTGCACGAGAAGCAAGACCCTAAGATTTCACACCACAAATTCTCAAAATAAAGTCATCTAAAATCATCTAAAACTCCTTCAAGATTTTGATAATTTACCTAAATCTCTTCATCTCTTAGGGTCGAGATTCATCCCTCCCTTGGCGTTGGTAGTGCGTGGCCGGGCAGCATCTCACTGAAGATTACAGAGGCTACAATACACTAAAGCCCCCGAGAACCTGCAGTCCCCCACTATCTTCCTCGTCGCTGGGGCCAGGACCATCAGATTTGAGGCTGCTCAGATCTTTCAAGTGCCGGGATTTGCAGGTTGGGCCAGGCCATGCATTGCGAGCAGCCGAGCCACCTTCGGCGACGAGGCGATCCATATCGTCAATGAACTTGTCAGGGAGTTCGGTTGAGGGGAATTTGGCTCTCTTCCGACTGTTATCTCCCTCCAGGGGCATTTCGAAGGCAGTAGGGAGGCGTTCAAGTACTGCAACAAACGCATCAGCCTCAGGACATTGGGCGACGTAGGCGGGGACGGTTCGGCAAATGTTTTGTGTTATGGATCTCGGGGCGAGCCTGGGTAAATAGTTAGAGCCGACAAGTTAACAAAGCAACGGAGATCTTAACCTGACCTCGGTAGGAAAGAGTAAGAAGCTCCTGATTCGAAGCAAGTTCCTGAGCTTGGACAACAGGAGCAATGCCGGTGCGATTACGAGGAGTTGTACCGCAGGGATTCGAGAGAGCAGCGACGAGGGATCGGAGAGCAGACGCAGCCTCGAGAACACACTGTATAACGCGCCACTTCTCAAGACGCGATCGATCGGCGGTGAACTCTGCATGAAGCGCGTTCCAGTAGGTCTGCACAACAGCCTTCAGCTCGGGAGGGATCTGCATTTTGTCGGGCGAAGGTACACAGAACCATCGATGATGATACATACGGCAGTGCATGTCTTGTGGTCTCGCTTGCACAGAGTGCATCGCTCTGGCATGTCATCAACCACACAGACAAGTCTTAGGTAGCGATGGGCGGACAGGACGCAATGCAGGCAAGGAACCTCGAAGTCGGCAAGACGATTAAACCCCGTCTCTTCGTCAAACTCATATTGCTGAAGGGTAGCTGTGACGGCGGCAGTGGTGGACATTTTTGGAGGACGAGTCGGCGATCAGTGCGGTCAGTGCGTAAAGCTCTTAAGATTGCGGGAGTAAAGACGGTATTGCGAATGTGAAAAGATTTAAAACCGCGAGGCGAGGTCTAGCAGAACGAACTGCGGTGGGGAAGAAAGAGTAGCATATAGGAGGGCGAGAAGAGGACTTCTCTCAGGAGATGATGTCTTTTGCGTGATGTCAGGCAGACACTGTTGACAGCTGGCAGACCAGATGCCAGCATCTTGAGTCCGCAAAGGCATCCGTGGCAGTTCGGATCAGAGCCAAGCCCGGCACCAGATCCCTCTGATTGGTTCCATTAGACCCAATCACATCGCTATATCTTGCCATCGGCTTCAATCAAGTTGAACAAATCAAGGCTCCGTTACACAAACATGAATTCTCGTGTGACTCACTTGCGCCTTGTGCAACAAATGCATGACGGAGAGATTCATTTTCCATAACCCGGGTCCAAGATTAGGGATTATCGTTGCTAAGCCGCCTCGCCTGAGATGGTTTAAGTAGTTGGGTTCGCAGTTCGGACCAAGTCATACACTTCCACCTTATATTTGTGGTTTCAATCAGACTACATGAAGAATTAACCAATGGTTGGTGTGATAAATGTAAGTTTCGGCGAATTGATACGCCATAGTATGTAAAGTATATGCACTGTCATTGGTGCCACCAGTAACAGAGCGATGTACTGGCTTAAAGTTCCGAAGAACTCATCACCAAAAGTCAAAATTGAGAGTCGAGAACATGGGTGACTCATCAAGCCTCCCGAGTTTGAGTATAAACCTGTTCCTGTTCTTTTGAGCCATATCTTCAAATATTTGAAATTCTCGTCAACTTCTATCGCCAAAACTCATAGGATCAAAAATCTCCAAAAGCCATGGCAAACTCCCCATCATTGACCATGTCGGCTCCTGGGAGCAACGAACAGGAGATCATCTCCATGAGTACCCCTGGAGATTCTGCTTATCGTCTCCTATCAAAGGAGGTATTTAACCCAGCTTCCATTTCCATTGAAGATGGCTACAATGAGAAGTATCTCGAGCCCGCGAGAGCGACCCTCAAAGAAATACCACATCTTATCTATAAGGAACTTGAAATAATTTTTTTCGAGCATTCTGCAGCAGAGATACGGATGTGTTCAGATCTCAAGATTGGATGGCGTGCAGACCACTGCATGAAAACGGTCAACACACCACATCTCTCAAAGCCTATAGTTGGACCCTATCATCTTGACGACTGGTCAAATAAAGAAGTAATGGTCTATTTCGAACATAGGGCAGTTGACAATTTTGATAGTCAAAAGATCGCCCGGTATATATTCCGAGAGTGGCTACGACTCCACAACGGCCGACCAGTCTTCCAGCGCGGTGGCTTTTTCGGCAAACCCTTACTCTTGCAAGAGAACGGTCCTCAAAATCTCGAACAGTTGTCAACGTTTCATGGCGATCTATCTCAATACGTATCCACTCATGTAGAGCACTTGGTGGAGTTTAAGCCTGGGAGAAACTGGTGTTCGAGTTATCCTGGAGAAGAGCCACCTAAGGATGAAAGCCCAGGCGACATACGATCTTGGCGAGAGCATGGTCACCACATGTCCCATCTGTTCCGCGCCCTGTATCTGGTTGTTGATAATCAATCGTTGCCAGATACTACAGGCCCATACTATGAACCGCCAGGGTTGGAAGGCTATGACAGGATTCACAAATTGGATCATCGAGTGGAGAAGCAGTTAAAACCGTGTACAGTTCTTCTCGTCAAAACAGGGGATGATGCGCATCTGTCTTCACCCATCAATTTTCTTCCACTGTTCGAGGCAGGGCTAGCATCCAATGTGAACCGCGACGACTACATTGGCGGTCCTGGAGAGGAAGAAACAGCTGTTCGAGTTAGTCTCGACGTCGCGGTTCGCTTTGTATGGGATCTGCTACAGAGGGAGAAGGCGTCTTTTGATGAATTGGAGAACAAATACCAAGGGTTGGAAGAGGAACAAGATCATCGTTTTCAAGACTGGCTAGAGGATGTGATGTCTCATGCTGAGGAAGTAGGGGCGGATCATAACCTCTTTATGTGGTTTGCTTCCCGCCGTGCTCTTGCGAGAGCAAATTGCGAGGCTTTTGACGAAAGCCAGGTGTATCCAGTTTGGGAGCGATTGAGGACGTGGGATTTATAGAAATTTCAACTCAACAATATCGATCAAACAGAAATTCGAGATCACAGCAAGACATCCCTGAGCAAGAGTAATTGCACCTTTTCCAGGGTTGCCCAAGGCCATGGCATGTATGAATTCGAGGTAATCATATCATTCCTCCAATTTTATAACATCTTTTATCCCATTTTAGTGCATCATCTGGCTCAGTTTGAGTGTTGACGACTGTGGTTTTCTCAGATTTATTGCTGCTTTGTAGGCAGCTGTTTGCCAGCGCAAGCCCACCAGCCAGACCGGAGGCAGTGATACACGGTCAAGTGGATCGTTGGCAAACACTCAAGGCCAACAATCAAGAAAAGTTTTCACACTTTTGTTTTTCTCCCTCAAGCATCTCTTCGTGATCTCTGCCTCTGCCCTCTCTTTCAATTCTTCTCTGCATCTTCGCCGCGTTCTTTTCCCTTCTCAACTCTTCAAGAGTTCCTTGTTTGCGCAAACACTTTCGCGATGGCCTCCCTTGACCACATCGCGGCTGTCTTCTCTAACTACAAGTACGACAAGGACATTGGTTCTGAAAGCAGTGACGGTGTACCCTGTCTTGCTTGTATTTCGGAAATCGATCGCGATATCTCCTGCATCTGTGTCACGAATGATGATTCCGCTCTTTGTGTTATCTGCGAGTACTACCACAAGAAATGTGGCTCGGTAAGTCTCATTCACGAGTGCTCGGCAATGCATCTAACTTATTCCCATAGATCCCCTCAGAGCTTCTAGGTGCGGCCCAATGGTACTGGAACTTTGTGACTCGCCTGCAGGATCGAGAAATTTCCCTTAACAGACGTCAAATCTGGCGCATTCGTCGTGCGCTTGAGGCTTGCGGGTCATCATGGCGCGAGCTGGAAGGACATCTCATGAATCCGAACAATCTAGCGAGACTTGCTCTCCAAGAGTCAGTTGCAAGTCGCAAGACCTTGAATCTGTCTATCCTTCAGTCTGTGAGTCCACCTTTCACCGAAGACTCCCCAATTTCGTGGATCTCGTTAACGTATTGAAATGCCAGGCCGGTGCCAACCTTTCTGTGGATGAGGTCCACGAGCGTCTCGACGCTATCCAGCCACCCTATGCTCGCCATAGCAATTGTGTTGTCACCCTTCGAAATGCCCTTGCTCACCTGTCTGTTTCTGAGGACGTGGTGGTGGGTTCAGTTGAGGAAGGGATGTGCGACTCCCTCTCTGATGGATCCCCTCTCAAGCTCCAACCGCCATGAAGGAAGCCTGCGGTAAGGCCGCTAAATGCAAAGTTGTCCACGATGGCATGCCTGATCATTGTCGCCAATAATGAGGATGAATCGGGACCTGAGTCTAATGAGTTGTTGATGACTTTCAACTCTGCTTATGGCAAGGCCAAAGACTCTGATAAGAAGGAACAGGGTGCTCGTGGAATTGACTCAGAGTCTGGGTGAAGTAATAGTGGTAGAGGATATGGACCTGTCTTGCAGGGATCCTGTGCAGTTGCATCGACGGTCTTCTCGTTTCCATTCTCGTCGGACTTTGTTCTGTCGTTAGTATAGCCAGGGTCTAAGTCTTGGCTCAATCAATCATCGAGCTTTCAATGGCTCTCTTGATTCACCTTTGTGAACTCACACAACATGCAACTTGACTGGTAACTGTTGTCCTCCTTTGGTTATGTATATCGCTTCCTTAATTGAGAAGTAGTTGAGGCCTTGCGTCTGTGCACGGTGCTGCTGTTATGTTCGACGTTTTCATTCATGGACTGTCAGAAGACAAGTGACGTTGCGAATTAATTAATACTTGTCTGGCCATCACGATACCTTGCCGTGTATCCGGGTCAAAGCCACAGACATACCAGGCAGCTAGGGAGCAAACAAAACTATTTGACACGACTAAACACTTGAAACATTTGGCCTTGATGCAAGGTACTCAAAGTATCTAGTCTAAAGTCTTCTGAAATCGACTGTGCCTTTACCTAAGTCTTTTTGTCATTTGGGATAGGCTCCACTAACGGCCCAGACTCACTCCTGAAATGACACGGTCACAACACGACACAAACTATCGATGACCTGACAAAGAAATATAGTCGCATTGACAGGAAACATAATCCGTGTAATTTAACTGGTGTTTCCAAACCATCAGCTCTCCCCTGCATCCAATTGGTGGAATAGTCCTTCACCCATCAATGCTACGCTCCAATTTTCTCCGCGTCTCGATCCGGAAAGGTTCGAGGTTTCAAGTCCCACTGAAACACACCACGATCGGTTATTATCCCAGGCTAAACTCGCCCTTTATCCTCGTCAAATGATCCGTTTCTGCCTCTGCATGAATTCACTGCGGGGACGACTTTAGCCAAAATGGCCCCTCGGCATATCCGCCATGTGCCGAATCCGTACATTTCCAGGCTGAGGACCTAGCGGTGTGGAGTTCGTTCAGGAACGAGATTCGTTCGCTACTAGAAACAACGGCTGGCGGAGGATACACGTCCGTTCGATCCATTGGAGCATGGTCAGGAGATGAGATCGATCCCTGGGCCTCCACTTACTTTTGGGGGGATGGGTATATATCTTGGCTGATACACCATCCCATCATGTTTTGTTTCCCCATACTTCTTGGCACATCATTCTTTCGACACAATTCATCATGCAGTTGACTTCCATCATCAGCTTCTGGGCGTTAGCCCTATTCAGCCTCGTCCTCGCTGCAGAGCCCGTGCCGCGAGGTCAGCTCACCCAAGTCAACAGCTATGGCAACAATCCCACCGGCACAAAGATGTTCTTGTACGTGCCCAAGAACTTGAAGGCCAACCCTGCTGTCGTCGTTGCTCTTCACTACTGTGGTGGTACAGGTCAGGCTTACTACCAGGGTACCAAGTGGGCTTCCAATGCTGAGAAGTACGGATTCATTGTTGTCTATCCTCAGACTCCTTATTCCGGTGGCTGCTGGGATGTCTCTTCCAAGATGACCTTGACCCACGAGGGTGGTGGTTGCAGTACCTCTGTTGCCAACATGGCCAAGTATGTCCTCAAGCAGTACAACGGTGATCCCAAGAAGGTTTTCGTCACTGGTGAATCTTCCGGTGCCATGATGACCGTAAGCAAACCCTGTCACTCAATCGGCTTCGACTAACAGAACAGAACGTCATGCTTGCTACCTACCCCGATGTCTTCGCCGCAGGAAGCGCCTATGCTGGTGTTCCCGCCGGTTGCTTCGTCAGCCAGGCAAACCAAGCCGCTGCATGGAACTCAACCTGCTCCCAAGGAAAGTCCATCTACACTCAGACTCAGTGGGCCAACGTCGTCAAGAACATGTATCCCGGCTACAACGGTGCTCGCCCCAAGTTCCAGATCTACCACGGAACCGCCGATCCTACTCTCAATGTCCAGAACTACTATGAGGAGATCAAGCAGTGGACTGGCATTTTCGGATACTCTTCCAACCCTCAGTCATCCACACCCAACACTCCCGCCAGCCCTTACACTCGCCAGGTCTTTGGTGAGAAGTTCCAGGTAAGTAAAGCAGTCTGATGCGGTGGACGTGATAACTGACATTCTTAGGCTTTCTTGGGCCAGGGCATTGGACACGGTAACCCTCATTTCGACGACAACGATCTCAAGTGGTTCGGCTTCATCGTAAGTCATGTCCAAAATCCCACCGAAGCCAGAAACTGACATTCCTTTGTAGTAAATCGCTCCAAATATTTAACAATCTTGCACAACGGGGTCTTCCGGAAAGACCTAGGATACCAGTCTAGGATGCGTGGCCCAAAACACATTAAATTTCTATGAACTATCTATTGTAAATATCGTCGATAAAAGATCTGTATATATTGCATCGAATATTATTCCTTGTCTGGGTGAAATGACCGTACTGGAAGCTTAGCACGCCGACCGTTAATCAGTGGGCCATCTCTCTGTCCGGCATCGAGTGATAGCCTCCTCTGCCCTTGGTCTTGGACCTGTTTCATAGCTCGTGCTACCGCAATCGGAATACGCGTTGCCTGTGAGCTTGAGAGTCTCGGTAGTTTGACTGCCCGGCCTTTTTGAGTGTTCTCGAGTTTTGACGGAAGCTGGCTTGGTCTCGGTTGTACCACTGATAGGTATATAGTTGGTATCAGAAAGGCCGTAGTGTCTAGGTCGCGCAAGGGTCTTTAGTCCGAGATAGAGGCAGATATCGGGTTTAATGACTTCTTGATAAACCTCATCGCGTAGTGCTAAGTAATCGATCTGTCAATTGGTCATTCTAGTATCTAAACTGTCAAGTGGTGTAAGCAGTCATCTCGTTGGTTCGAAACACCCAATGCGAGGTCGGCGGCTCCTCAAGTTGTAAATTGTTATTTCCTCGCTCGTCTTGGTTGAAAATCATATCCATCGACTCAGCACTTGGAACTGGAACTTGCTGGGAGATTTAGATTCAAACAGCAACAAGATGGCCTTGGTTCGTTCAGCTCATCTTCCACTACAATCTACTGGTCTGGAGCCAAGACTATCGACCCTCCACAGTACGGAACCAGCTCCTGTACCAATTGGATCACTGCCAGACTCTAAAACCTGCTCTTTCTTACAGTCGGTCAGCAGGAGCAGTCTATATCAGTTTCAATCGACTGTCCAACTTCTTTACAGGACCTATCATCTTTTTTTTCGCGCAAATCCACCTTACCTGGAAACCCCCTCCTCAAATGTAACAGCAAACGGATGACAACCAACAACCTGGCAAACGCTCAGATACCATTGGTCAACAAATTGTCGCCTATGCATAGAACATGCAATAATGTCATGATATGTTCCTTGTCACTTCCCTTGCTGGCCTCGCTCCGGAAATCCCCCGCGCGACGCCGACGTGTTCTTTATAAACAACCAACAGCTTAGAAAGATTGGCCCTGCTCCTTTGTTTCCATTACTTTGTCGTCTGCTCTTTTTGCCTTCTGTTCCTTCTGGTAATCTGCATTACTGATACAATGTCCAATACCAGCAGCCCGAAGAACCGGTCATCCCGGTCTCCACGATCGCCCCAGGATCCGTCGATAGCAGTCAACGAAATAATCGCAGTGGACGAGCCTCAAGATGAGGAGGAAGACTTAACTTTGGGATCTGACGCTGAGAGCTCGACGGCTTCCATTTCATCGAGCATTCTGAATTATCGTACGATCAATGGCAGACGTTTCACAGTGAGAGAGGAAACGCAGCCTACTGGGGGTCGAACGATGAGCGTCAAAGTGATGCCATGGATATCGCGTGAGGTACCCCTCCCACAAAAGTTGTGCTACGTCTCGCCTAACAGGACACTACCCAGTCACCACATATGGACACTCGCCCACGATGGAGAACTATACTTTGCGCCTCTGGAAGACAACATACAGGTTCGTTAAATAACGCAATACAATGTTGTGCCTGCCTTGTTGCTGAGCTAATTTTGTCAATTCTCAGTAAGTTCTTGACGTAGGAACTGGAACCGGTATGAAATGGCCTTCCCTACTAACCGCGAGATTACCCGTACTAATATGTACTGCAGGTATTTGGGCTATGTAGGTTACCTATCATATGGTGATGTACCAACTCTTAACCAATCTTCAGTGACTTTGCGGACAAATTCCCAGGCTGCGAGGTCATTGGTACCGATATTTCACCCATCCAGCCCGGCTGGGTCCCACCCAACTTGAAATTGTGAGCCACTTCGTTACTTTCATCCGGACAGATACTCTATGTCTAACCCCGATACCAGCGAGATTGAAGACTGTACCCAACAGTGGACCTTCCTATCCGAGTCCTTCGATTATGTTCACCTTCGTTATCTGGTCGGCTGTATTCCAGACTGGACAGAACTTTTCAGCCAAGCATACAAGACTCTCAGGCCAGGTGGCTGGGTTGAGAGCTTCGAAATTTCCCCGACTGCAGAAAGCGACGATGGTACTGTCGCATATGACTCTGCAATGGCTCAATGGGGAAGGATTTTTATCCAGGCTTCCGAGAAGATCGGTAATAGCTTTACCGTTGTCGACGATAAAGTCCAGAGACCTGCTTTAGAAGAGGCGGGATTCGTTGATATCCACGAGTGGGAGTTTAAGGTATTCTACGAGACCATTGTACGGCGGCCTTAATGACTGACTCGAACAGTGTCCCTTGAACCCGTGGCCCGCGGATCCTAAGCTCAAGGAGATTGGCCGGTTTGGAGAAGTTTTCCTCACACAGGATACTGAAGGCTTTGTAACATTGGCGGCCAATCTATTGGGCTGGTCGATGGAAGAGGTCCATGTGTATATCGCCAAGTTCCGACGTGAGGTTCGGAACCGGAAGCATCATGTTTACATACGTCTCAGGGCTGTCTGGGCACGGAAGCCGGAAGCGAAAGAGGGTCCAACGCCTGCATGAGCATAAGTCGTATAGATTTACATCGGAATCTGATTAGCAAGTGGTGTTTCTCTTATTCCTACTCACTCACACCTTTATCAGACATTATATCAGCCATTCCTGACCAAGTATCTGTAACTGGGCCTCACGAAAGCGCAATAGCTGCCCAAGAGCTACCTTCTGCACCCCGTAGAAATAACAATATTACAAAAGCCATGCCAGCTAGATGTAATGCTGGACCTATTTTGTCATCTTCCAGCTATCCATTTGAGAAGTCCACCCACTTGCAGGATACGTCTGAATATAGCAAAAGTGATACCCTCAAGATTGGCAATACTTATCCGCCAATGTGAAGAGTTGAGAGTTTTCTGCGCTCTAGGAACTGACACCTTGTCGTATGCCGCGACAGCATTGCCAATTGAATCCGAGGCCAACAGAAATTCAGCTAGGTCCCATCCATCTGCCAAAGCCATGTTGGCACCATTTCCAGCAAAAGGGCTGACAGCATGGTTACTGTCTCCAATAAAGACCACACCAGGAAGAACATCCTCATGGCTGAATGGCTTCTTGTCGCGCGCTGGGATAGCAAAAGCCGTTGAAGGGTCTGTTGCGTTGATCAAGCTTGCAAATGGCTCTGCTATCTCGCTGCAATGCTGTCGCACTTCGTCCAGGAGTGCACGTCCATCTCCGCCTGTCGCTTGAGCTGGCATCTCTTCAGCTTTGCTAAAAGCCCAGATAACAGTTTTGCCCTCGAATGGGCTCACGAAACAGCTGTTGCCGTATCCAGACGCCATAATACCCCATGAATCGGCCAAGGGATTCGGAATTCCTTGTGAAAAGACTGCGAGACCACCGATTTGAGTAGCCCCTGCGTAATGCAACTGGTCGTCTGGGAGAAGTGAGGCTCTGATTTTGCTGTGTGCACCGTCCGCGGCGATCAAAAGGTCGCAGTCGATCAAGTGTTCGGGCTTATTCTGTGAGGAAACAGTGACCGAAAGGCGACAATCATCTAGTAGCTTAACACCCAAACACTGTGATTGCCACCGAATACTGATGCCCAGATTTTCAGCTTCTTCGATCAAAATTTCTCTCAAGCTAGCTCTGAGAATCCGCAACCGCGCCACAGGGACATCCCCATATGGTTTTGCAGGGACAGCAATCAACTCGTTCCAGTCCTTATCCCATATCTTGAAAGGCATGCTGTCAGTTCCTGGTGTTGCTTTCTCAATTACACGGTGCAAGAGGCCGAGCTTTTCGAGGATCTGCAGGCCGCCATCTTGTTCCATGCCATTGATCGCGAGTGAGTAGCCTTGTCTCCGGAGGTCAGGATGCCTAGAATCGCGATCGTAGATTGTTATCTTGGGAGGGGAAACCTTTTGATTCCATCTCTTGCGCAATGAGATACCAAACGCTAAACCAGCCATACCAGCTCCGGCAACAATTATGGACTTGTTCTCCAGGAAGTGAGCTTCTTCTGCGGTCATTTTGAGGTATCGTACTATGGAAAAATCAACAAGACCAAATACAAAAAGAATCACCAAACTCAAGTAGGTTTCACTACTTATGATCGAAGAGAGTAGGCTTGGTGCTATCTTATGGACAAGCTCGGTATTTTTATTCCCGAGCAATTTTCGGATTCGGGTTGTAGATTATGCCGTTCGGTGCCGGTGCTTATTGTACCATCTGATGGTGCTTACACTCGGGTCCGACCTCAACTAGTGGCCGCTTATTAGCATATTTAAAGTTTTAGTAGAATAGTATGTCACTATTGCCTTGGGAAAATACTAGAACTGTAAGTATTAATGATCAAGTGCAGCCAGCCCAATTATACGGTGCAGTGTATGCAGAAGCTTCGTGTCTGAGCGAGGAATTCTTCGTGATCTATCGGAGAGTCTGCACCAAGCCTTGAAACCAATATTGATTCGCTCCTGTAGACACGATATTAGGCTTGGGCTGGAAACCAGAAAAGAGAAGATTTTTCCAGGGGATGATGAGCGGCCAACTTCAAGATCAGCGTGCCTTACAAGAATAGCGTGCCTTACAAGAATTCCATCTGCAACCACAGAAGCTAGGTCAAGGACCCTCGCCATCGATGATTATGGCATTTCTTTCTAGCCGGCTAAGAGGACATCCGACAAGAAAAGAGTTCAGTTCTCAGATTCACCATAAGGATATCTTGATACAACCTCTCCAACTCCCAGAAAGGCCAAGGTACCTACATTGTTGACCAACAGAGACCATGTCGTTCCAGTAACTGTAGGCTCAAGTTTTTGCCAAACTACCGAGGAAAATTCCAGCAGCACGATTCCAAGAAGTGTGCCGCCCAAGGAATATGGAATCTCATACGACCTGTCACTCCGTATGACGACAAACTCAGTTATGTCATATCCTAGCTTCACCCTTTCAAAATTCTGATTCTATAAGTCTCATGTCACTAAGAAATCTTCTCCATCATGCGGGCGGATCGACTCAATTGCCGACGCGAGATCACTATAACCTTGCGGTCATCATCTCTTCAAGCTTTGTTCAGCTGCATTATAGCGACTGATTGCTAGCCTGGATAGCAGAGACTTTTTCTTTCTTCCATATCAGGGCAGCCTCCTCCACTTCTCATGTGGAATATGACAGACCGCAATGAAATTCATGTTCATAAGGATGCCCAATCAACGCCCTTCGCTGATCCTGCATTGTGATCTTCGTCATTACTCTCAATTAAGCTGATTTCAATTTCTTGCAAGAGCTTCAGACGTCAATAAGAAGAAGTGAAGGGAATCAGAATATTCTATTGCACATAATCTCCTACCTAAATCTTGGATCATCAGTCTGAATCACGGAATTGCCGTTCTACGAAGTCTTGGGGGTGGATTGCATAGCACGGAGTACTTGTTAGGGGCGCAGCAGACTTTTTGTTAAGATGACTACGCTGGGCAGGCTGTTTACCTTTTCCCAAAGGAGTGTAGGAGAATGATAGTTATCATCAATTTGAAAAATTGTCAGTTAAATCAACGGTTTCGTGGTCTAACGGTTATGACTGCGGATTCTGATTCCGCCAGCGAGGGTTCGACTCCCTCCGAGACCTTTCTTTTGCTTATGCATTTTTAAATCTTCTTTTTGTTCCATTTTCCCTCTTAAATGCCATGCACCGCAAGTTATGTTTTGAGGTTCTTTACATACCCATTTTTCTGCGTTGATCTACTTACGCCATGTGTTCCTCGTTGAGCTTTTTCAGCCATTGTCTGTCTTTGAGTTTTAGTCAGCTATGTTTGCAAAGCATTCTGCCGGTTGCAAAACAAGCGGAATATGGCGGAAAACACTATCGCTCTGTTCAGAGACTATTACAAAAATATATAAGGACAAAATTACACTGTTTCAACGTATCACAACTACTATTCGAGTCTGCAATGGCTCTGTCGTGTTTGTTTGCCTGCTACCCTGTATCTCCGCCATGACTCGTGTGTCAACCTTCAAGTCACGGCAATGACTTATTCCCGACGGCTCCCACGTGTAGAAGGATTTTAAAGCCTTGGCACCCTGTATTTCCACGAATGATCGACAGGAACAAGTGACGAAGACGGGCTGAAAATGGCGCAAATATCCGAAGATTCGCCAATGATGAAAAACACTCTGATCACCGACCATACAACGATCCAGTGAGTGTCCACTTGCCGGAGCCGAACGGAAAAGATGAACCGAGAACAAGATCGTTATCTCGGTCCCTCGGATCACTCTCAGGGGCTCATCTGATAGTTCAATTCAATTGACCTTCCATCCTTGTGATCATCCTGCGGCCGCACAGCCACGGGGTAGCATCCAGATCTGAACCACATCGCCGGGAAGTGGCTAAATAATGCAGCGCCCAGGGGTCTGATCACATGCGTCTTCAGCTTCGTATCGCGCATCTGTTAAGAACGGCGACATGCTCGTTCTGGAAGCGCTTGCGATGGCGGAATAAAAGCCACTGTCTGAGCGGCGCGTTAGCCCCTATAATGATAAGAAATATTTTTAATAGGGTCATGTCACTGCCAGCCAATTGTCAGATGGATTGCGCGTTGACGGAAATTCAGTGGATTCACCCCCCCAATTTATTTTCAGCCTTCTGGGGCGTTCCTGTTCCGACCTCGCAGAAGGAAATGCTTTACGCAATATGATCACCAGCTAGATAATCTGTCAATCACGAAATTTCACAGCGTCGCTCCACAGAAACGTTCTAAAAAGGAACTTGGAGTGCTAGTTTGTGGGTCAGTGGCTTACCAGTAACGCCGGGCCTAAGACTTGTCTCGTAATAGCGGCCGAGTTGACTCGCAGCCCCAAACGTCCAGCAAACTCTAATCTGCCCTGTCTAGCCAGTGAATTATTGGGTGCGGGCTCCGATAATGGCGATGGGCTGATTAGGGGACCCATGCTTTCCACGTGTCTACCCTGACGGCCTGGGTCTGGATCACTGTCGTGACTGGATCTCTGGATGGCTTAACTACTGAGGTTCTGCACCCCTGACTGGCGCTGCAGATCTTGTCGTTCCTTTTTGTTACTTTTCTTGCATCCATGCCCCGGATTTTGACTGTTTTGCTTTTTAGTTCTGGGTGAAGACCCTCTTCAGTACCGACGATTTGGTATCGCATTAGCATCAGCAGCCATGTCGTCTCTCGACGCTGAGATGTGGGCGTGGTACGCCTTGACGTTGATTGTGGTGATTGCGCGAATGTGAGTACTTGTTTGGGCATGTTGAGAATTGTTGCTGACTTTGTCCAGGGCATCACGTCGTATGTTGCTCGGATCCTTCAAGCGCATGTTGGCAGATGATTACCTCATGGCCGTGACAATGGTTTGTATTTCTCCACTTTCTATTGCATGAATACTGACTTCTGCAGGTCACGTATACTGCGCTTTTGGCAATTGTCAGCGTCCTCACACGAACTCCCACCAACCTCATCAACCCCGACGACCACATCGTACTCACCCCCGAAGACATCAAACTCCGAGAATATGGATCGAAACTGGTACTCGTCACAGAACATATGCAGATGATTACCCTTTGGGGCGTCAAAGGCTGTCTGCTGTTCATGTATGGCCGACTTACGTGAGTAGTTCCTCATCGCCGACACAGTTAAAGTTTGTTAACCATTTTTAGAATGAGTTTGAAGCAAAACTTTTTGGTCAAGCTGGTAGCAGGCTATGTCGTCGTTGGATTCGTTGTCATGCAGATCTTGTGGTTTGCTGCTTGGTGCCGGCCTTTCAACCACTACTGGCAGGTTCCTCCTGATGATTGTGAGCAACCCGTTGATAAGATAAGGAATTTGTACTAATGGATCGCAGTGAATTGTTCGGCTGAGACCAATCATATGATCACCAACGCTGTCGTCAACATCTCCTCTGACATCATGATCATCCTTCTTCCTATGCCTGTCTTTCTGCAATCTCAACTGCCGCTCAAGAGAAAGATTATCCTCTGCGGTGTCTTTGCTCTTGGAATCTTCACCGTAAGTTCTCATCCGTTTCTCATCCTATCGACCTGTCAAGCTGACCTGTCTTTCAAGATCCTCGCAGCAACGATGAGCAAAATCTACAGTCTTGGTGACCCCTACGGCACAGAATGGTCCTATTGGTACATCCGTGAAGTCTCAACCGCCGTCATCGCCGCCAACCTCCCTCTCACATGGACCCTCCTTCAACGCGTCTTCCGCCTCGGTTCATTCCACGCCAAGTACGGCAAATCCTCCAACCAGCGCACTGGCGAAGGAACATCTCGATTCCGATCAGCCTACGGAAACCTCAGCAGTATGGATCGACGACCCAAAAAGACGACTTTTGTTGAGCCTGGGATGAGCTTTTCGGAGAGTCAAGAGGAGATCAACGGGAAGGATATTCCTTTGAAGATTTACCAGAAGAATGAGGTTATTGTTAATATCACTACTGAAGAGGCGTCGTCTGATAAACGATCGCCGTCACCGCCTGGCCATACTGGGTTGGAAAGGATTAATTTGCGGGAGGCGAATGCGCATGGCGGTAGTGAGAATGGGGATAAGTCAGCGAATGAGATGGAGCTTGGTGTTGTTACCAAGGTCTATCATGGAGTATAATGGGCCAACGGACTGACGAACTAGACATACATAAACTTTCCCAAGTACAACTAATACAATCACTAATCAAAATATCGGCGTCTACTCATTCGCGAACAACATCAAAGTCCTTCTTGAACTGCTGGATCTGATTGGACGACATTGTCATCCAATTGAATCTCTTCAGGGTGCTTGAAAATACACAAATGTCCCACGTGACCTCAGCTCTCAGCCTCATCTCAAAGCCCAAGAACGCTTACTCCGCATCTCATCATCCTTCCCTCGGGTGATGATGGATGGCCAAGGAAGCTCCCGGATAAGGGAAAAATACCATCCAGAGACAATAATTTCGACCGGCCTCAGTGTTATATACGTACCGGAGACCGATGCTGCAATAGTCGAGTAAGTAGCGAATGAGGCTATTTTAAGATCGCGCTGCTGAATGTACGCCAGCATTATCATGGTTCATGGTCTGAAAGGCCACCCATATAAAACATGGCGATGCAAGCAAACTCCAGAAAATGAGGATAAGCTATCCATAAACCCTGACAAAGAGGCACCAAAGTCGAGCACTTCCAAACGACTCGAGCTTAGACAAAGTATCAAGGCGTTCTTGAAAGGCTCGTCGAGCAACAGACAGGACAGTAGTCTCACCGATTCAACGTTTACCAATACTTTAGCTTTAGAAACTGGCGACGGGTCTGTTTTCTGGCCTGCCGATTTACTCCCGCAAATCTGCAAGAAGGCTCGAATTTTGACATTCGGTTATGATACCAAGATCACCAAGTTTACCTCGGGGCCGACCAACACAAACAGTATCTTCTCACATGGGAAAGACTTTTTGTTCTCTTTAGCGCGTGAATGCGTGCCGGACCGCCCTATCATATTCGTTGCTCACAGCCTTGGTGGAATATTGGTGAAGGAGGTAAATATTCCCTACGCCTCCGTGAACATATGTGTTGACCTGTTCAGATGCTAGCACTGTCGTCAAATTCAGACAACCCAACGCAAAAGGCTGTCGTTCAATCAACTGCAGCTGTCATATTCCTTGGTACACCCCACCGAGGAAGTCCTGAATTGTCAGCTATTGGTGAATGGGCAAGGTCAATGCTTAGCAGTCTGAAGTTTCAAACAACATCGACAATCTTGGACAGTCTAGGCCTAAAAACAACTGATTTAGAACGCGCCCATGAAGCGTTCTGCAGACTCTGGCACCAGTATGACTTCCAGGTGAAGACGTTCCAAGAAAGTTTTGGTCTTACCGGCATTGATCTGGGCGTCTTGGGAAATAAGGTCGTGCCTCATGAGTCTTCCTTGATCGGAGATCCGAGGGAACATGCAGAGACTCTGCAGGCCAATCACAAGCAGATGAGTCGATTCAGCGGTGCTCAAGATCCAAACTACATCAAAGTTGCTGGGGAGATCAAGACGTTCTATACGGCAATTGAGAATGCTCGTACTGACAAGCGATCTTCTATGAATATAAGAGAAGGCAACAATAACGAGCTCTTACATAAAGGAGGCGTTCCGGAGGTTCTAGACCAGAAAATATTTGAGGAGCTTCTCACAGCACTGCGCTTTGATGGGATGAATGCTAGGCGAGAGGCTATCCTGGCCCCGGCCATAGATACGGGAAACTGGCTCTTCCGAGACCCAAAATTCCGTCTTTGGACCACTGCAACTGACCGAAGTGAGAGTCTACTCTTCATTAAAGGGAAACCGGGGGCTGGCAAGTCAACCTTGATGAAAGAAACTGTGCGGATGATGAAGAATGTCCAAAGACGAGACGGCGACCGTATTTGTGCAGACTTCTTCGTCGACGCCGGTGGTGAACCTCTACAACGTTGTTCGGCTGGGATATTCCGATCGCTGCTCTATCAGATCTTATCACAGAGCACAATATGCAGCGCGGTGACCCAGATGAGCTTGGAGAGAGACGCTTTGATCTCTAGCATTAAGAGTACTGTCGCCAGTACCTTGATGCCAACAAGAGTGTTGAGTGAGACACTTTTGCAAAATTTGCTCGTCCAGACGTTTTGGTATCTAGGGTCTCTCGGTATACCGGTGTTTATTTTCGTGGATGCGCTCGACGAGCTGAGTGTCGAGATGCAGCGACAGCAAGTTGACTTCTGGAGTATGCAGCAACAATTCTTTTCGGGGCCAAGAACATGTCTGTCCTGTAGAGAATTTCCAAACATCACCGTCGATGGCTGCCTGGAGCTTAGCTTGGGTGCGTACAAGCAGGACGATATCCTGAAATACATCACACAGCGACTTGGCACACGGATTTCGAAACATGAAGATTCCTGGAGGCAGAAGCTCACGGAAAGGATTAACTCTCTGTCCTCAGGGGTTTTCCTCTGGGTAGTTTTGGTAGTGGATGAGGTTCTCCAGAGCTATGATAACGGCACCAGTCTGCGTGGGCTCCTCCGGCGCGTCGAAGAAACGCCCTCGGAGCTCAACAAGCTATACGAAAGGATGTTACTCTTCAACGCCGCATATGAGAATCGTTTGATGACTGAAAGGATGTTTCAATGGGTACTTGCAGCAAACAGACCACTACGCCTGGATGAGTGGCATCACATTCTCGCTTTTATCCAACCGTCAAAGCCAGCTTCGCTTTCAAAGTGGCGAAGATCAGAGTCATATACTGAGAACGACCATCAGCTTGAAAGAAAGATTAAGACCTTGTCGAGAGGATTATTGGAAGTCAGCACCAAGCAACACGATGTCCTGGCGGAGAAGAATGGCGATGTGTCATCCATTAATGGTGGTATGGGATCGCTGGACCATGAAGAGGGATCAGCTCGTGTCGTGCGCGTTATCCATCAGTCTGTTTACGACTTCTTCATACACAAAGGGGGCTTCCAGAAATTAGGATTGGAGAGCGTCAACCCTCTTGCGGACTGCCATTGCACCATTGCCAATACATGCATCGATTACTTGTTCATCCCTGAGCTGGATGAATATGTCGTTGCCCGACAACGAGTAAACATGGCTAGTCTAACCAGTGCCTCGTTATGCTCGGAGGCTCATCTCGAAGCTGAAGAACCGCCAGAGGTAGATTATCAGCGAAACAATCGGGGGTCTAGACATGGTTTTGAGGGTTTGAAGACATTGCGCCCCTGGCAGCCTTCTGAAGTCATCGAGGACTGGCTTGCCGGAGGTGCTTTATCGTCATATACAGGTACCATTGCAAATTCTGCCAAGAACTCTGTCTCGCGTGAGTCTCTTGCCGCCGCTCGATCGCAGGTTCTAGACGACTACCCAGCGCTACTCGTATATGCAATCACAGAATTCATGGTACACATTGATCTTGCAGAGTTGGATCTTAATCCCACACAGGCAACACGGAGTCTCATCGCGAGATTGGGAGATGACACTATCTGGAAACGTCTGCGGACCCTACAGCAGGAGAAGCGCGCGCGACAGAGAACCTCCGAGTGGCTTGAAGCGGTGGCACAGAACCGGCTACCTCCTCGTCCAAAGTAAGTGGCTCTATACGTCACCTATTGCCAAAATCTGACGGGCCAAAACAGGGTGTCTTCGCATATCCCAGTCCCGAAAAATGGCCCTAGAAGTCCAAGAAGCATCACGAGTTTTAGCTCGGCGAGTAGTTTTAGCCATCGGAGTTATGCATCCCATGGAAACAAGAAAGACTAACTGAACAGGCCGAGTTGGATGATTCCAGGGATGGATGACTTTGATTGATGTTGGCTTGTGTAACAAATTCCGCAGTCGACTTTTGCTAGTGAATGGCTTGACGCTAGAGTTGTCTTCTAACTTTACTTTGCTGAGTCGGATCTCGTCCTCGGATGTCGTATGTGGATCACCCAATTCCGGATCTCGTCCCTCGGGGAGTTCACGCCCAATTTTCTGGGGTAAACCACAATTCCAGTGGCTCCAACAAGGATCTACCATCAAAATCGCCCCAATTCGTCAAACAATCCCAACCATCACGACATCTCTAGCCTCGTCCTCACAAGTCTACCACTCTCCATATAAGTCCACAGCTCCAGCCTTCATCATGACAACTTAACCACAAGCACATCTCCATCATGGGCGTCTTTACAAAGTTCCGCTTCTTCAACCGACGACTCGCGCTATCGTGCGTGCTCATCGCTGTGTCGACGTTCAATTATGGGTTTGACAACCAAGCTTTTGCTACGACGCAGGCGATGGACGCGTTTGATAAGCAGTTTGGCGTGTGGAATGAGAAGACGGGGACGTATGTTCTTGAACCGTCATGGCTTTCGCTGTTTAACAGTTTGAACTACATTGGTTTTGCTGCTGGTGAGTATAGCGCGAGGTTTGGGTGTGCTTTGCTGATGATGTGCAGGTGTTTTGATTGGAACGTGGATTTCTTCGCGATGGGGAAGACGGTGGTGTATGTTTGTCATGAGCGTGTATGCTCTTGGTACGGCGACTATCGCTGTCACGTCTTTCCATCGTGAGCAGATCATGGCAGCTCGAATCCTCAACTATGTCTACGTCGGCATGGAGCTTGGTGTTGTTCCAACCTTTCAGTCCGAGATAGGTTCGTGATACTTCAACAAACAGCCATTTCCATCGCTAACAATGACAGTGCCCGCCCAAGCTCGTGGCTTTATGGTCGGATCCTACCAACTCAGCCTCGCAGTCGGCGGCCTCGTCATCAACAGCATCTGCTTCGGAACAAGCTCGCTCCCCGACAACCGAGCCTGGCGAATCCCTCTCGGCATGTTTTACATCGTGCCTAGTATTGTCGTCGCAGGCATCTGGTTTGTTCCCGAGTCGCCGCGATGGCTGCTACGCAAGAATAGAGTTGAAGAGGCGCGAAAGAGTCTCCAGCAGATCCGTGAAGGTGCTTTTACAGACGAAGAGATCGATGCTGAGTTCACGGAGCTGAAGGTCTCTTTGGAACAAGAGACTGAACAAGGAAAGTTCGTTGAACTTGTGAGAGGTATTAACCTCAAGCGAACTCTGATCGTTATGGCTGTCAACTTCTATCAGCAGGCTGGTGGTCAAGCTTTCGTGTCGCAGTATGGTACCATCTACGTCAAGTCGCTTGGGACCATCAACCCGTTTGGCTTCAGTCTGATCACCTCAGCCATCAGCATCGTTTCAATTACATGTATCCTTCTATGGACGGATATCATTGGTAGACGGTATGAGACCTGCCTGATTTGTATCACCGACTAAAGCTGACCAATATCTAGTGTTCTCATGATGGCCTCGTCTATTACCATGTTTGCTGCCATGATGACCATGGGCGGCCTTGGTATCGTGACTCCCGTCGATGATTCAAGAAAGAAGGGGGTGATCAGTATGATGGCTGTGTTTGCTTCTGGCTTCGGAATGGGTTGGGCACCTCTCGTCTACGTCGTCACCACTGAGCTGTCAGCTCTTCGACTCCGTGATCTTACATCGCGAGTTGGCTTCACCACCAATGTCATCATGAAGTAAGCCCGCTACTTACTTGCTTTTGTTATAGTACTGACAAAGATTCAGCTTCACCGTCAACTTCAGCATCCCATATCTCATCTACGACAAGTACGCCGGCTTGAATAGTAAAGTCGGCTTCATCTTTGGAGGCATCATGGCTACTGCTCTCGTGTTTGTCTACTTCTGCGTCCCTGAATGCAAGGGTAAGACGTTGGAGCAGGTCGACTTCTTGTTTAACCAGGGTGTTCCGATCCGACAGTTTGGCAAGGTCGATGCGGCGGAGATGATGCGCGCTACACAAGAGGAAGACGGCTTGGGCAAGGTGCAATCCGATACCAAGGATAATGCCTTGACAGCTGAACAGCGAGTCTAAGTAATGGATGGGTATGGTACAAAGTTGAGGCGGGGGGAAGTGTATTGAGATCGCCAACTAGCTCCTTAATATTGAGGTGCATTAGCATCAGTATAAGCATTCATCTGTAGATCAAAAGGATCCAACGGAAAGCCAAGCTCTTGATCTCCAAACACCATGTCAGTCGAGTTGATAGAGTCATAGTTGATGAGCGGATATCCAAGGGACGAGAACGAACCCAATGATCCATCCCCAGTTGACCCTGTGAGACCTTGTTCATCGCCTTGAGCTGGGAAGGACCAGATGTCTTGCCCTACAGAGTTCTCAAGAACTGCAGACTCGAGAGACGTCTCCGGTATCTCTTCGCCAGTGTTGGACTCTGGTGGTCGGATTGCCGGGTCTTCTTCTTCCTCATCTTCTGGAGCAAAGGCATGCTTCGAACGACGATGCAGCTTCTCCTGCAGACGGAGTGTACCTGGCGACCCACTTCTGAAGTACTCGTTAGCTATAGGATCGAGGTAGCAATGACTGTGACGTACGGCGAGCCAGGAGATATGTGTCTAGTACCTAATCGTGGTATGAGGTTTTCGATGTCGGTGATCTACACCTCGGTTAGCCTCCTCGCCCATAAGACGGAACGAATACTCACACATGAGCCAATCCAACCAACTTCAACTCGACTACCCGAAACAATGAGTAGAATGTCCATAAACTTCTGCTTGATCACCGGTAACGATGAGTCTCCGTGTAATGGAAGCAGAGCAGCCAAGTGATCAACCATCTTGACGAATTGGTACGTCACTACTGCAAATGTTGGTGTCCCGACACGACTACTAGTCTCCATCTGTCGAACCTTTGACCACATGCCGATGTATTTCAGTGCCGTCTGTAAACACTGTTGCTGGCAGTAGTCGATATATTCTCGTGGCGTTTGGCCGACTGCTTCTGGCGACACGGCTTCTCGGATACCAGGGATGAGAAACCGGTGAAGGTCGCAGCGAGAACTGAACAGAATTGTATGGAGGGTTGTATATGTGCGTGCTTCCTCTGAATGACACATTATCATAAGTCTGTTATCAGTGAGTTGCAACTCATCTGGAAGTGACTCTTCAAAAGATGTCAGCTCGAGGTCCAGGGAGCGCAACTGGCCCCTGCTGAGATATGGACTGGCTCCGCTGAGGATGACCTGTCTAGTGTATCTTGGCCCGTCAGCAAAACCCCATTTTGCAGGATTGGCGTCTCACCTCAGAACTCTATCTCGAATGTCATACAGCCGCATCAAGTAAGCCAAAACATTCAAATCTGTATCATTCTCATTCTTACTCCGTAAAAACGGCGCTTTTGATCTTGAGCCAAGCTGAAAGTTATGATGACTGCACGGTAAGCGGATATGCATTCTTTGCGTTGGACAAACAGTCAGATCCTCGATGCCACCACAGAAGATTTTGTCAACGGAGTAGATAGACCACATCAATCGACGGAGACATTCTTGTTTGACTGGATCGATAGCTGGGCGTTCATAGTTGAGCCTCTTGGTGAATGCAACTCTTGATGCGATTGAGAGAAGAACCCATACATCGCCAGTGAAACGCATGGAGAACAGAAATTTGATCACAAGCATGAGAGCTTGTAGTTTGGGTATTGACATATCGCCCATCTGATTGACCAACTCGTGCTGAACTTGCTTTATCCAATTATGCGCTGGTGAGGTCTCTGAGTGATATGTTGGTGCAAGTCGCAGTGCTGAAGCGCAGATAGCTTTGAGTAAAGTCTTTTCAAGTTTTCCCTGACTCCATTCTGCGATTGTTGTAGCTTTGTGAAGAAAGACACAGTCGGCGATGTCGGACTTGTCAAAGTATGTGTCCAGATATTGGCGAATGGTATCTCGATTCTCAAGCTCAAAGACCCTTTCTGAATATCAGCGGGAGGTAGACATGTACAGAAATTGGAGTTTACCGCTGTGGTCCACTGGTCACACTAGTAGACGTGTCCATTGGCGATGCCTGACTGGGTGCTGATCCATATTGTGACTGGGAAGTGCTCGCCGGCGAAGTCTGTACCTCCATACCAATATCGACACTAGAACTCCCCGGCTCGTCACCGAATACACATTCCTGTCCTTGTGACTGACATCGGTTACAAGGACATGTCCCGGAGCACTTTGACTTGGCACTCCGACAGGCCGCACAAGCCTTCAGTATTCTCCGCCTCTTGATACCCGCCTGCGTTACATCCTCCCCATGACCCGTCACTTCAATCGCATCCCCCGCAACATAGCTACAAGTCAATTCCAACCGCTCACAGCGTATGCACCCCGTAATTCGTCGATCGCATTTAACCTGATGGCCTAGATTAGTGGAGAACCCCGCAAACCGTAACAAGAGCACGAACCTTTCTCGCTCGACATTGTTTACACGCGAGTTGCGGGGACGATCTTTCCATTGTACGAGATCCGAACGAGTTCCTGGCTTTGGGTGAGGAGTGGGGTTTGCTGGGTCTTTACATAGCAGAGTTTCAAGCACGTCAGCCCGAGGTTGGATGACGAGGGGGCGAGATCCGGAGAACGAGATCCGAAGCTAACTTACGCGAGGGTGTTAGCTCATGACTAGATAACTACGACTACAAACTCAACATTGAAGGACTGAATTTGTTGCTCATAGCATTTCACAATGTCGCAATCTCATAGTCTTCCTCCGAAACCACTGCCTTTGAAGGTTGAGTCCAAAAATGGAGGAGAGAGGCCGAATTATATCATTTTCATGCCTGATCAATTGAGATATGACTCTCTCGGCTGTACAACTGGTCCCGATTCTGAGATCAAGACTCCGAATATCGATGCATTCGCTGCAAGGGGAAGCCTTTTCACCAATTGTTTCACGCAAGCTTC